AATGCGTTTATTATTAATTTTTATGATCATATACTTAAGTGTAGTAGTGGATTCATATAAATATTTGGCTGTTTTACACACAGGTGCTAAATCACATTTTATTTTTGGTTCAGCTTTAATGAAACGTTTGGCCCAAAAGGGTCATGAGGTATATGTGATATCACCGTTTCCACAGATAAAACCTATAAAAAATTATCATGATGTATTTTTGGAGTCTATGGAGAAAGTAATGAATGGTGAGTACTTTGAAATGGATGTCTCATTTGCCAAAACGATTAACTCCATAAATCTATTTTAATAGAATATACTAGCAGTTTGTTTTATAGTAATGAGAAATCGGTATGGGAAAATATTATGAGCTATTTCGACATGGGTCTCAATCTGACTGAAACGGCTTTAAAAGAACCCAATGTGCAACAACTAATGGCCAGTAATCATACATTTGATGCTGTTATATATGATATTTTTCTGTCCGAAGCTTTATTTGGTTTAAGTGAACATTTTAAGGCACCACTTATAGGTCTAAGCACACTAGGTGCTATCTCAGAGAATAATGATATGGTATGAAAAGTTACTAATTATAGATTGAAATAACCACATATTCATTTTCTTCTGTTCTCCGTCTTATTAATTAAGGTGGGCTCCCCCTCTCCTCCTTCTTATGTACCCAATATTATGTTAAAATTTACCGATCATATGTCTCTCAGCGAACGTGTGAAAAATTTGGCTTTTGCCACATTTGAGCGTTTATTTATGGATTTTCATTATTTACCCAAACAGGCGGCTTTGTATGGGAAATATTTCCCTCATTTGACAAGAGACATGTATACAGTGCGTAAAAATACGGCTGCTGTTCTGCTAAATACTCATGTGTCACTGGGTTATGCCAGGCCTTATGTACCCAATCAAATTGAGGTGGGCGGCATGCATATTAATCGCCAGCGTAAACCTTTACCCGATGATATGAAGAAATTTATCACTGAAGCTAAACATGGTGTCATCTACTTTTCCATGGGATCCAATTTGAAAAGTAGAAATTTACCCCCAGCCAAGAAACAGGAACTACTGACCGCCTTTAAAAGCCTTAAACAAAGAGTCTTATGGAAATTTGAAGATCTCAAGATGGAAGGCAAACCCCATAATGTTTTCATTAGTGACTGGTTCCCTCAGGACGATATATTGGCCCATGAGAATGTCAGAGTTTTCATTACCCACGGTGGTCTTTTAAGCACCACCGAAAGTATTTACCATGGTACTCCTTTTATAGGCATACCCATATTTGGTGATCAGTTCCTTAACATGGCTCGTGCAGAAGCTAAAGGCTATGGCATACGTTTAGATTATCAAACTTTAAATGCTAAGGATCTCATAGCAGCTGTGGAACGTGTAATAAATGATAATAGCTATAAACAACGTATACAGGAAATGTCTGCCACATATAGAGATCAACCTATGTTGCCTTTGGATTTGGCAGTCTATTGGGTGGAACATATTGCTCGTCAAAAGGGTGCCAAATATTTACATTGTGCTGGTTTAGATTTAAGTTTTATTGAATATCATAATATCGATGCCATGTTAATATTATATGGTGGCATTCCATTTACTCTTTTTGCTATTATCTACTTTTTTAATATGTTAATTAAGGCAATATGGAGGAAATTGGGGCGCCACCAGGAGGATAAGAATAATAAACAGAAAATGTATTAATTTTGAGAGATATCGTTAATTAAACAAATTTTAATTATACCCTACACCACTTTAGTGGGGAGGGTATATTGGGTTTGTGCTGATGTTTGTAACGCACAATAATATTGGTCCAATATCCTTGAAGTATACCAATCGGCTTAGAATCATTTTCTGAGTCGATTTAGCTATGTCCGTCAGTCAGTCTGTCTGTCTGTCCGTCCATGTAAACCTTGCAATCAAACTATAGGTCACATTTTTGGAGAGGGTATTTTGAGTTTGTGCTGATGTTTATAACGCACAATAATATTGGTCCTATAAAGTCCTAAAGTATACCAATCGGCTTAGAATCATTTTCTGAGTCGATTTAGCTCTGTCCGTCCATGTATGACCTTGCAATAAAACTACAGGTCACATTTTTGAAGATAATTCAGTGAAATTTGGTAAATTATCTGCTATTGTCTTAGTGACGAAACCTGTTATGAGCGGTCCATTATTTCACATAGTCCCCATACAACTGAACCCCTGAAAATGTCTTGTAATCAAAGTACAGGTCGCAATAATTCAATGAAATTTTGCACATGATCTTCTCTTGTACTAGAGAGGAATCCTATTGAAAATGGGTAACCTACCTACAAATTCCACGGGAATACTTCTGCACGAAGTTTGTTCCCCATTCGACATTATCCCTATAATGTCTCGTGCGTTCCACTAGCCAATCGACCACAAATGTCTGTGTTCTTGATAAAAGACGTGTATTGCTTAAAAATATATCGCAAATAAGTTCCCTTATTTCTGAGAAACTCATTTCATTCAAATTCAATAGAACATTGACGGTGCTCTAATGAATCAATAGAGTTTGATATCCTACTCTAAGCTCCGGACCTTATATGAGAGTTGTCGGTCAGATATAAATGATGTTAGTAGAAGGAAATCAGAATGACATACTCTGTTTAAAAAAGCGAGACATTTGAATTCTTATTTTAGTGTTTGATTTCATGTCCAGAACATCAAGAGTTCCTGGTTCCTTAATACTTGGACCACTCATAAATATAGATGGAATATTTTTTGCTATGCGTTTATGTTTCAAAAAACAACATTAAGTCTTGTGATCATTCAAATCTACTTTATTAATACGACCCCATTTAGAGATTGTTATCAAGTCGTGATTGAGCGATTCATTCATATTGTGCCTTATTGCCTCAATCTTTAACAATTCGTATAGTGCCGGTCTCTGTAAAAGCTCAAATTAAATCGACAGAACCAAAAGCAATTAGTCTTGATATACATGCATAAGTCCACCATTCTATGGTCTATCAAACGCCCTCACATATAAAGAATACAATTTTATTATCGCTAAGTTAAAGTTAATCGTACATTCCCTAACTTTGGAAAGTTCAGAACAAATTTCTATCACTCGATAATTGGTCTCTCTCTCTCTTTGCAGGAGTTGTCCCTACATCTTATGGTATAGTATGCTGAAAAGATTAGTTAATAGACGAGCTAGCGTCGAAGAGCACTGCTTTAAGATCAGTGTCGGTATTTTATATGATCCAGATCCAGGGGACTCATTATGTTGACATCCTCGCTCGAAAGAATACATATACTTTCCATTTTCGGTTCATTAGTACCTTAATACTTCTCCATACAAACGGGCCCCTAATGGACATGCTAGGATTCTAAGCATTCTGTCGTTTTGTTTTGAATCAAACAGCAGAATATATTAACACCCCCCCCCCTCCCCACAATGACTTCGGTAGAATGTTCAGACTCAAAAATTCCTTTTACATGGTCTGTCGATATTGTTTAAAGGCTGCGTTGTCTGTCTGCCATCGCCTTAGTGTAGTTCCCTGTGCGTGCACAGAGGGAAAAAGAAATATACACGCCTGGTACCAAATTGACAACAAACTGTTTATAATTTTTCAATACCATCCGTTTTCATAGTATATACATATGTACGACAACACTATGTAATGTTGACAACATTGCAACAATTCGTTGTCGAAATCTAAATTTTATATACATCCGTTATCTAAATGTTAACAAACGTGGTAAGCTCAGTATTTACAAACAATAGTGAGCTTACCATGTTTGTTAACATTTAGACAATGGATGTATGATAAAATTTAGATTTCGACAACGAATTGTTGCAATGTTGACAACGTTGCGTTGAAAATTTATAAACTCTTTGGTGTCAATTTGGTATCAGGCGTGTATATTTCCTTTTCTCTCTGTGTATATACTACATATCGTAATGAGTAGGCGGATAAGTAAGCAAGAATGCTGGGGTATATAAAAGTAGTATGTATCATCTGATTGTTTTAAAAAAAGACTAAAAATAGGGAGGCTATACCAGACACCCTGCATGATGATGAGAAAAGCACTATCCAACTCATAATCCATGATCGAAGGGACATATTGGGGTTTCTTTCAGTAACAATAGGACATTTGGTACTAGGTAAACATTCAAGTCGACTTGGGCCCGGTTCACTGAATACTCTTGAACTTGAAATGATAGGGAAAACGAAGAAAGGGTCTTCCCTATTCTCTGCCTTAGCCGGCAAGAGAAATAGATTGCCTGACAAATATAATCCTATATAACAAAGATGCATATACAAGGTAACTCTATGGTAGAGAACATTTCAAAGGAAGCAGACTTCTGAAGATTCTGAATAGACTAAATTAAATAAAATTTTTCATTAAAAACATTAAAAATTTGTTTAATTTTAATTAACTTTCATTTTATTCGCAGCTTTATTTTTCAAACTACAACAACACTTAATTAATGCAACAAAAATTAACACAAAGAAAGACACAGCAGCCAATAGTGCTACCAAATATACAGCAATACAATCCCAACTATTTCTTTGCCAATAATTCAAATACTGAGCGGGTGAACGTAGAAATCCAGCACCTCGATGTCTCAAAACATATTCAGTCCAATAAATGGCCTTATCCAAAGGATCTATAGGCTGATCACGATAACGTTGAGACATTATTATCGCTTTCTCTGTATATTGAGGATTTTCCATGAGTTCTTTTATATTATATCTCAAAATGGTATGATTAAGTTCTTTATAACTAATAGAAAGACCAAAACCATCCTGTTGGGCTCGTCGCATATTAACAAATTGATCATAGAAAACGGGTATGCCTAAAACAGGTTTACCATGATAAATGGATTCAATTAAACTCAAAAGACCACCATGTGTTATGAATAATTTAAGACGAGGATAAGCCAAAATATCTGCTTGCGGGAACCATTTGTTGATAAAAACATTTGTAGGACGATTTTGCATTAGAGCAGGATTTTCAAATTTCCATAGAATTTTATAGGGTAAAGAGGCAAATGTTTCTAAAAGTATTTGACGTATTGGAGCGGGAAAATGTTCACTTTTTATATTGGAACCCATAGAGAAATATATAACATCTTGTTCAGAAGAGTTAATGAAATCTTCAATATCTTGGCTAAGATTTTGGGCTTTATGTTGTATATGAAAACCACCAACCTCTATCATATTGGTGACATATGAACGAGGAAAACTTAAACTAAAATGTTGATTTAACAAGATCAAAGAAATATTTTGTCTTAATTCTTCTAAAGATCTTTGGGCCTTAGGAAAATATTCTTTATATAATTCATCATGTAAAGGTTTGTGTATAAATTCACGATGCCACAGCATTAAAATGTGATGCCACATATTTATTAAACGTTCTTTAAAATTCATACGTTCCGTAAAGCTGCCCGTTAGTAGGGGTGTATAAGCCATGGGTGATATATTGTTGACCAAGCTATCTATATAGGGATCGGTACCATAGGAAGAGACACCAATAATAGACGTTTTAAAGTGTTCAGCTATACCAAATAGCACATCCATTTGCAGAGTTTCTATAATAAGCAAATCGAATTGTTCCTCTGGTGATGTTAGAAGTTTCTGAACATTTTCATTATTTAAGACATCTTTGGCAATGGTCGAGTAGTACCAGGAGAAGCCCATAATTTCGGAGAAAGTGCTGTGTATATCATTAACAAAACTGAAAACGTCTGAAAAAGCAGAGAAATGTTTTAGTTAAAATCATTTAACGATTTAATTAAGTCAATTAAGTTTTAAAAACTGTATCAGTTTCAGAAAACTATATCAGTTTCAGTTGCATTTCTTTAACCAACCTCCCACATATTGCAAAACTTCTGGTACATTAATATCTCTGTAATTCGGTATGGGTGTCTTTTGAGGAAAGGCATTGATTACGGTAACCTCATGACCCCGTGAGGCCAATGTTTTCAAATACGGTTGCACTACCAAATACTGTGATGGACCAGGAAAGGGAAATATAGCTAAAATTTTAGCTGTTTCACTAAGTTTTACAGAACACAATAGCAATAGAAATGAACATAATAATTCGAATTTCATAACGTAAAAAACTGACTTGTTTTCAAACACTATTAAACAAATACTAAACAAGATTTTGAAAATGTACAGAAAACTTAATTTAGTATTTTTAATCAGATTATATTTGTGTATTAAAGATAATTAAAATAAATAATCAATGATTTTAAACAATTAAGAGCGATCGACGGCAACGTATTGGGAACATTATATACTAAATATTGATAGTATCTTATCGAAAATTAACTAAAATTAATTTGATAGGAATGAACAAAATTACAAAAACAAATCTATTTTCTAAGATAAAGCTGTATTAAATGATATTTTAAGAGGTTTTCTAAACGCTTTTCTAAACAATATTCAAGACTAACGCCTGTAGTTTTCATTGTGGTTTAAGCATTGTCAGCATAAACGAAAGAGAGAAACAAATAAAAGCTTTACTTTACTCTTTTGTATTTACTCTTGCAAGTTTTTTTTGTTTATGCTTCAATAATTTCAATTATATTTTAAAGGGGCTTGTCTTTGTTTATTTAATCGTAAAAAAAACAACAATAAAAGCTTATAATAATTTACATGATCACTCAAAGTTTAGCTGCTTTACGCTTTAATATAATAAAAGCTTAAATTTAAGTTTTTGTTTTCATTCGTTACCCCACCGTAGAACAACAATGCAAATGTAATCAAAATTAATATTATTTTAAAGTCCACTACATGAGAGTTATTCTAAGAGAGCATTATCAAAAGCACGAAAAAAAAGCTTTTTGCAAAATTATTACAAATTCAAAATAATTGCCATACTTTGCTATTGAAAATAATACACAATAATTATAGGCAATTTTAATGAGAATACAATTTAATAAGTATTGTTTTGTGTGATCTCATTTTAGCAGAATCAAGACTAAAATACAATATTAATTTAACATTTTTTATAGAAAACTTTTCTTGACCAATAGATTTTTTTAGGAATTTTTAGTGATCGTTAACATTTTTCTGTAAAAATGAGTAAAGAAAATTTTTTACTGATCAATATAAATTTTGACGATAATTATAATTTTTTAGAAAGAAATGTACTTATTATAAAAATATCGATTGTTTACATTTTCAACAAAAATGTCAAGATCACTGAAATTTTTTGTCAAAAATATTAATAAATATTTTCCCTTAACTATTTTAAACAAATTAGTTAGTTAGTTAGTTAGTTAGTTAGTTAGTTAGTTAGTTAGTTAGTTAGTTAGTTAGTTAGTTAGTTAGTTAGTTAGTAGTTAGTTAGTTAGTTAGTTAGTTAGTTAGTTAGTTAGTTAGTAGTTAGTTAGTTAGTTAGTTAGTTAGTTAGTTAGTTAGTTAGTTAGTTAGTTAGTTAGTAGTTAGTTAGTTAGTTAGTTAGTAGTTAGTTAGTTAGTTAGTTAGTTAGTAGTTAGTTAGTTAGTAGTTAGTTAGTTAGTTAGTTAGTTAGTTAGTTAGTAGTTAGTTAGTTAGTTAGTTAGTTAGTTAGTTAGTTAGTTAGTTAGTTAGTTAGTTAGTTAGTTAGTTAGTTAGTTAGTTAGTTAGTTAGTTAGTTAGTTAGTTAGTTAGTTAGTTAGTTAGTTAGTTAGTTAGTTAGTTAGTTAGTTAGTTAGTTAGTTAGTTAGTTAGTTAGTAGTTAGTTAGTTAGTTAGTTAGTTAGTTAGTTAGTTAGTTAGTTAGTTAGTTAGTAGTAGTTAGTTAGTTAGTTAGTTAGTTAGTTAGTTAGTTAGTTAGTTAGTTAGTTAGTTAGTTAGTTAGTTAGTTAGTTAGTTAGTTAGTAGTTAGTTAGTAGTTAGTTAGTTAGTTAGTTAGTTAGTTAGTTAGTTAGTTAGTTAGTTAGTTAGTTAGTTAGTTAGTTAGTTAGTTAGTTAGTTAGTTAGTTAGTTAGTTAGTTAGTTAGTTAGTTAGTTAGTTAGTAGTTAGTTAGTTAGTAGTTAGTTAGTTAGTTAGTTAGTTAGTTAGTTAGTTAGTTAGTTAGTTAGTTAGTTAGTTAGTTAGTTAGTTAGTTAGTTAGTTAGTTAGTTAGTTAGTTAGTTAGTTAGTTAGTTAGTTAGTTAGTTAGTTAGTTAGTTAGTAGTTAGTTAGTTAGTTAGTTAGTTAGTTAGTTAGTTAGTAGTTAGTTAGTTAGTTAGTTAGTTAGTTAGTTAGTTAGTTAGTTAGTTAGTTAGTTAGTTAGTTAGTTAGTTAGTTAGTTAGTTAGTTAGTTAGTTAGTTAGTTAGTTAGTTAGTTAGTTAGTTAGTTAGTTAGTTAGTTAGTTAGTTAGTTAGTTAGTTAGTTAGTTAGTTAGTTAGTAGTTAGTTAGTTAGTTAGTTAGTTAGTTAGTTAGTTAGTTAGTTAGTTAGTTAGTTAGTTAGTTAGTTAGTTAGTTAGTTAGTTAGTAGTTAGTTAGTTAGTTAGTTAGTTAGTAGTTAGTTAGTTAGTTAGTTAGTTAGTTAGTTAGTTAGTTAGTTAGTTAGTTAGTTAGTTAGTTAGTTAGTTAGTTAGTTAGTTAGTTAGTTAGTTAGTAGTTAGTTAGTTAGTTAGTTAGTTAGTTAGTTAGTTAGTTAGTTAGTTAGTTAGTTAGTTAGTTAGTTAGTTAGTTAGTTAGTTAGTTAGTTAGTTAGTTAGTTAGTTAGTTAGTTAGTTAGTTAGTTAGTTAGTTAGTTAGTTAGTTAGTTAGTTAGTTAGTTAGTTAGTTAGTTAGTTAGTTAGTTAGTTAGTTAGTTAGTTAGTTAGTTAGTTAGTTAGTTAGTTAGTTAGTTAGTTAGTTAGTTAGTTAGTTAGTTAGTTAGTTAGTTAGTTAGTTAGTTAGTTAGTTAGTTAGTTAGTTAGTTAGTTAGTTAGTTAGTAGTTAGTTAGTTAGTTATATTGCCAAATCTTTTTAAAACTTTTCGGTAAAAATGTTGTGATCAATTAAAGTCTTCCACAGAAAAATCTTTTCTGATTGACAAAAATTCAATAGAAAATTTTGAGTGATGGAAAGAAAACTTTAAGAGATCGAAAAAAAAATTTTCCGAAGAAATACTTTCAATTGTCTTTCCTTTGTTATTTTTGATCAGTAAAAGAACAACAAAAATGTCCTATAGAAAATGTTCCCAGATACATTAACTACACTTCCTTAAAATTCATATTGCATATTTGCAACTATTTATAAAGTATTTTTACACATTCTACTGACGTTTTGATTACTCAATCGCGTGCACTTCAACATTGTCAAGTTTAAATAAGATTATCATAACATCGTAAACGTTATTAAATAATTTCTTAATAAAATAATTTATTTGCAACTACTAACAATTACATGATAATGACACTGCAAGTTTGTATATGTAGAAAGTGGACGCAGTATGTGATCAATTTTAGAAAATAATTAGACAAATAATACATGTCATTTTTTGTTTGTTTAATTTGCGGCATCTAAATTTTATTAACCCTCTAATAATGATAATTTTGAAATAAAACTGGTTAGTTTCATGACAGCCGCACAAATTTATAACAAGCTTTTACGCTACACTTAAAAGAAAGTGCAAACATGTGTTAGTAATGTTTGTAACAATTTAAGTGGATTTTATGAATTTTCTATTAAAAGTGTTTGAAAAAGATCAAATATGTTTGGTATAATTAAAAGCTTGATTTACATAACAGATAAATTAAATAGTAACTAGTTCTCTTGAATAAAATTTTGTTATTTCAAATAATATTGTGTTATTTTAAATCTTGTACGGCATTCTTTAGTCGTTGTTTATCTTACTTTCTACTTATTGTATGCAATTGTTTGTTTTCTTTTGTATTTGAGTTGATAAGTTGCCACCATGATAGACAATTTAATGAATATTTGTTTTGTTCTCCAGCAAACTGCGAACGAATGTTAAGGTTATTAACCTACTAAAAGTGATTAGGGGACAGAAATTTTAAACAAATTTTAAAATTGAAAACATTAATCTAATCTTAAATTAAATTAAGTACATACTATTTATAATATTTTTTAACTGTGTCACTGTGATGAAATCAAACACTTATATTTCACCTGTTCCTAAAATGATCTAATCTTAAACTAACTGTTTACTATAAAATGAAAGTCATATTAAATATAATAATTACCTTATCATTAAAATTTAAAATAGAAAAAACTTAGTTGATCGCTAACTATTATATTTAAAGTGATCTTTATGAACAAGAAAATACTGATGAGTTTCACACTTTCAAATTTAATTGATCATTGTTTGGCTAAACAAATGTCATACAACATTAAATTCAAAGATTACTATAGATTATTTGTAGAGAAACTTTTACGATCAGTGATATTTTTAACGATCATTGAACAATTTTTATAAAGAATTTTCGTATAAAAAATTAATCGTGGAAAAAAGAAGAGACAATTTTAAAGAGATTAATAAAATGTTATATATTGAGATCATTGCAAAATTTTCCATTTAGAGAAAATTCTAACAAGATCACTATTCAATTTTTATACCCACCATCAAAAAAGATGTGGGGGCATATTGATTTGGTCATTCCGTTTATAACACATCGCAATATTGGTCATAGACCCCCAAAAGTATATATACTCTGGGTCCTTATAAAATTCTAAGACGATCTAGCCATGTCCGTCCGTCTGTCCGTCCGTCCTGTCTCTCTGTCTATTGAAAGCACGATAGAGTCTGAACGGAATAAGCTAAAAATTTTCTACAAATCAATCTGCAAATATTGTCTATAGACAAGGTTTGTTTGGTATTGAAAGTGGGTAATATCGGTCTACGTTTTCGGATAGCTCCCATACAAGTGGATCCTATAGCGATGAAATTCTAAGTTTCCTATGAGCCAAAATCTCATTACCAAATTTAATGAGGATCGGTCCATAATTGACCATATAAGATCCCCTTCAGATCGGTCAATAATTGACCCTACCCCCCATATAAGGTCCCCTTTAAAAAATGGCATTAACCTCATTACTAGCTTAAAAATACGAGTATAGCTATGAAATGTTACACACATAAGTTCCATGCGAGCCAAAATCTCTCTATCAAATTTTATATAGATCGGTCCATAATTGATCCTATCCCCCATATAAGGTTCCCTTCAAAAAAGGACTTTAACGCTCAATACTGGCTTAAAAATACAAGTATAGCAATGAATTTTGATATAAGTCTCTTACGAGCAAAATTCTCTTTACTAAATTTTACATGGACTGGTCCATAATTGACCTTACACCCCATATAAGGTCCCTTTCATATATGTAATTACTTTTACGCTCAAAACTGGCCTTAAAGTACGACTATAAAGATGAAATATGAGTAAGTTTCTTACGAACCAAAACCTAAAAAACTTTTATAGGAACGTAAATCTTCCTACCGAATTTCATGCGGAAAGTATCGGGAAGTGATATTCGCTGTAAACATGTTTTATATAAACCAAAAACGGTCTAAAAAATTTTATGAAAATAAGTAAATAATTCACCCTACCTCTCATATAAGGTCCTCTTCAGTAAATTTGATGAGTAATATCACCCTTTTACGGCATACGGTTTAATGGTGGATATATGAGATTCGGCACAGCCGAATATAACACTCTCAATTGTTAGTTTTATAAAACTGATCTTCAATGTAATAAAATGTTCGAAAGCAAATTGAATAACTGTTAAATTTCTTAAGGAAAATTTTTACAATCAATAAATATAAATTTGTTTTTATTTTTGATTTGTTTATTGTTTTCATATCAATAATGTTCTAATAATGTTATCTAAATAAGTCCCTCAGTAGGTTAAACATTAATATTAGACACAAAAGAATAACATGCACAAAAATTAGTACATCCCAAACAGACATACATACACATGCATATAAAAATGCAAAATAAGTAAATGTGTTTCTAATTTAAAGCACGTAAGCGACAGCAGTCAGAGATGAGCGACTTACTTGCACTTTACATTAATCCCCACATCGCTATAGTAGTAGGAATGCTCTGTATAAAAGTTAACTTCAGCTTACTTTTTTAATTGCTTTAATTATAACATTTAGTTCATCTAAAACAAAACTTCCAAAAATCTCTTGTTGCTAGGCCTGTTACTAAACCAACCCTTTACATATAGTCGGCCATGCCTGACTATAATTTCTTAATTATTATTTTTTTTCCCATTACAAACGTCAGCTTAAACGTCTAGTATCCTAATCATCTATTATAATGGTGTGAGTAATAAATAGTTAATCTTTATTTGAGAAATTTTGAATAAAGATCAGTTACAAATATTAGATTGTATTGAGAACTTATCCAAAAGTATACAACGGAATAAATAAGAAGATTTTAATAAATTATTAAGAAAAAATAAATAAATAAATGAAATAAGCATAAAATAAAATGAATTTCCTTATAAAGCCTTTGTACTTGAGTTTATTATGTATTTTACCTTATATAGAAAGTGCTAATATTTTGGCTGTGTTTCCATTTCCGGGTCCTTCGCAGTACATTTTAGTGCAACCGTATTTAAAGGCTTTAATAGCCAAAGGTCATAGTCTAACAGTGATCAATGCTTTTCCTCAAAAACAACCAATTGCAAATTTTCGAGATGTAATTGTAACCGAAGTTCACGATAATTATGCGGGTAAATGTGAAAGGAAAATTTATTATAGAAAATTTTTAAATATTTTCAAAAAGTCAAGCCAATTAAGATCCTTAAAGGTCCTAAAAGTATTGAAAAAATAATTTTTATTCTTTTTAATTTGTAATCGATACTTTTCCTTTAAAAGTAAATTACTAAATCTTCTCTTTCAGATCTTATTCAAGGTGCCCAATATGAACGCAACAAATGGGATGAAATGACATTTCTATGTGATTTTTTCTCGAATGTCACTGAAACGGTTTTGAAAAACGCTCGAGTACAAAATTTGCTGAAAACCGAAAAATTCGATTTAGTTATATTAGAAGCTCTGCACACTGATGCATGGTATACATTTGGGCGACATTTCAAAGCACCCATGATTGGCCTATCCTCCTTCGGTACCGATCCCATAATAGATGAGCTAATGGGAAATATGTCGCCGTTATCATATGTACCCTTAGTAACTGCTGGCTTAACGGAACGCATGACCTATGGAGAACGTTTGAAGAATTCCCTCTATTCATTAATGGAACAATTACACGTTAGAGTGGTACATTTGCCACGTCATAGAGATCTGATTAAGAAATATATGCCTCATATGAAAGATGATATCTGGGATTTAAGAACAAATTTCTCTTTAATGTTATTAAATCAACATTTTAGCTTGAGTTTTCCACGTCCTTATGTACCCAGTATGATAGAAGTGGGAGGTTTTCAAATACACTATAAACCCCAGCCATTGCCCAAGGAAATGTTGGATTTTATTAATTCCTCCTCTGAAGATGTTATTTACTTTTCCATGGGTTCTAATGTAAAATCAAAAGATTTTCCTCCCGAACGTTTGCAAATGATTAATGAAGTTTTTGCCACTTTACCCTATAAAATAATGTGGAAATTTGAAAATCCCATTTTGCCAGGTAAACCCGATAATGTGTTCATCAGTCCCTGGTTTCCTCAACCCGATATTTTGGCACATCCTCGTGTTAAACTTTTCATTTCCCATGGTGGCCTGCTGAGTACCACAGAAGCTATATATCATGGCAAACCTATGTTGGGTTTACCCGTCTTCTACGATCAAGCCATGAACATAAGAAAAGCCATACAATCTGGTTTTGCTTTAGGCTTAAATTTTGAAACCCTACCAAGAGATGAATTTAAGTCTAGCATATTAGAAATGATGCATAACTCAAAATATATTAATAATGTTAAAACCATATCGCGCATTTATCATGATCAACCTATGAAACCCTTAGACGTGGCCATCTATTGGACGGAATATGTTTTAAGGCACAAGGGAGCTCTACACCTACAAAATCCTGCTCAAAAAATGAGTTTTATACAAAAACACAGCATAGATACGGTGGGAGTTTTGATAGCAGCTGTTATTTTGGTAGCTATTTCAGTGCTAATTGTGATAGTGAAAATTGTTCAAATAATTTTAGAGAAAAATTCAGTAAATAAAGAGAAAGTTAATTAAATGTGTTTAGGTGAAAAAAATTTAGTTGAATTTAAACAAATTCATGTTATTTTTATCATCTGAGGTAGTATTTTTTCCATATCTTGATATTAAATTATAACTTATGTAGATAAGGTTTGACTAAGATATTTATCACTTAAGACATTATTATTAGTTTATTTCAGACACTTCTCTCAAACACTCAATTTATAAAAATCTTCAAAAACATAATAAAATAAATACATACACAGAAATGTGTGTGAGATTTTTATGACCACAGAGAGATGGGGCTATGTATACTACTTTTGTCATGCCCTCTGTAACATTTAGAAGAGTACATCGTCGTATCCCCATTAGCAAGTATTTCTGTTATTGTGGAACTAAAGCTCTTTAACTCATAAATTACGCGGACTCGACTTATAACTGTAAATCTATACTAAAGTCAAGACCATGGCCCTGACTATAGTCGTGACCACACTTAAGACTATAGTCTATAATATAGTGAAGAATATAGTCTTTACTATAGTCAAGAATAAAGTCTATACTATAGTCAAGACTATAGTCTATGCTATAGTCAAGACTTTAGTCTATACTGTAGTCAAGACTATAGTCTATACTATAGTCAATACTATAGTCTATACTATAGTCAATACTATAGCCAATACTATAGTCATGACTGCAGTCAAAACTATAGTGTATACTATAGTCAAGACTACAGTCAAGACTATAGTCAAGACTGAAGTCTATACTATAGTCAAGACTAAAGTTTATACTATAGTCAATACTAAAGTATATATTATAGTCAAGACTAAAGTCTATACTATAGTCAAGACTAAAGTCTATACTATAGTCAAGATTAAAGTCTATACCATAGTCAAGACCAAAGTATACTATAGTTAAATCTAAAGTCAACACTAAAGTCAGGACTTTAGTCTATACTATAGTCCGGACTATAGTATATACTATAGTCAAGACAAAAGTCCATACTATAGTCAGGACTATAGTCAGGACTATAGTTAGGACTATAGTCTATACTATAGTCAGAACTATAGTCTATACTATAGTCAGGACTATAGTCTATACTATAGTCAGGACTATAGGCTATACTTTAGTCAGGACTATAGGCTATACTATAGTCAGGACTATAGTCTATACTGTAGTCAGGACTATAGTCTATACTGTAGTCAGGACTACAGTCTATACTGTAGACAGGACTATAGTCTATACTATAGTCAGGACTACAGTCTATACTATAGTCAGGACAATAGTCTATACTATAGTCAGGACAATAGTCTATACTATAGTCAGGACTACAGTCTATACTATAGTCAGGACTATAGTCTATACTATAGTCAGGACTATAGTCAGAACTATAGTCAAAAATATAGTCTATACTATAGTCAGGACTATAGTCAGGACTATAGTCTATACTATAGTCAGGACTATAGTCTATACTATAGTCAGGACTATAGTCTATACTATAGTCAGGACTATAGTCTATACTATAGTCAGGACTTTAGTCTATACTATAGTCAGGACTTTAGTCTATACTATAGTCAGGACTATAGTCTATACTATAGTCAGGACTATAGTCTATACTATAGTCAGGACTATAGTCTATACTATGGTCAGGACTATAGTCTATACTATAGTCAGGACTATAGTCTATACTATAGTCAGGACTATAGTCTATACTATAGTCAGGACTATAGTCTATACTATAGTCAGGACTATAGTCTATACTATAGTCAGGACTATAGTCTATACTATAGTCAGGACTATAGTCAGAACTATAGTCAGGACTATAGTCAGAACTATAGTCAAAAATATAGTCTATACTATAGTCAGGACTATAGTCAGGACTATAGTCTATACTATAGTCAGGACTATAGTCTATACTATAGTCAGGACTATAGTCTATACTATATTCAGGACTATAGTCTATACTATAGTCAGGACTTTAGTCTATACTATAGTCAGGACTATAGTCTATACTATAGTCAGGACTATAGTCTATACTATAGTCAGGACTATAGTCTATACTATAGTCAGGACTATAGTCTATACTATAGTCAGGACTATAGTCTATACTATAGTCAGGACTATAGTCTATACTATAGTCAGGACTATAGTCTATACTATAGTCAGGACTATAGTCTATACTATAGTCAGGACTATAGTCTATACTATAGTCAGGACTATAGTCTATACTATAGTCAGGACTATAGTCTATACTATAGTCAGGACTATAGTCTATACTATAGTCAGGACTATAGTCTATACTACAGTCAGGACTATAGTCTATACTATAGTCAGGACTATAGTCTATACTATAATCAGGACTACAGTCTGTACTATAGTCAGGACTACAGTCGATACTATTGTCAGGACTATAGTCTATACTATTGTCAGGACTATAGTCTATACTATAGTCAGGAACATAGTTTATACTATAGTCAGGATTATAGTCTATACTATAGTCAAGACTATAGTCCATACTATAGTCAAGACTATAGTCCATACTATAGTCAAGACTATAGTCCATACTATAGTCAAGACTATAGTCCATACTATAGTCTATACTATAGTCAGGACTATAGTCAGAACTATAGTCAGAACTATATTCAGAACTATAGTTAGGACTATAGTCAGAACTATAGTTAGGACTATAGTCAGAACTATAGTTAGGACTATAGTCAGAACTATAGTCAGCACTATAGTCAGAACTATAGTTAGCACTATAGTCTGTACTATAGTCAGGAACATAGTCTATACTATAGTCAGGATTATAGTCTATACTATAGTCCATACTATATTCAAGACTATAGTCTATACTATATTCAATTGTATACTATAGTCAAGACTATAGTCTACCCTATAGTCAAAACTATTGTCTATGTTATAGCCAAGACTAAAGTCTAGTTAATACTATAGTAATATACTACTATAAATGCTACAATCAGACTATAACCTATGCTGTTGAAGGACTGTAGTATAAGCTATAGTCAGACTTTAGTCTATGCCTTATCCAGGCGTTATGTTATAGTTAGAGAATAATCTATGCTATAGTCTAGTATAAGATATAGTCCGCTGTAATCTATAATATAGAAAAAATAATTAAAAATTAAAATTTAATTTTACAATAAAACTGGGTTTGATAGTTTGTCATAAACATTTTTTATTTACAAACAAATCGTAAAATCTCTTTGTATTATTTTGTTAATATTTCATTTAATACAATGTTTTATATTTGCGTTAGATTTAGATTTTCTCTTACCCTTTATATTATTAATATATTTTGTCATGTATAAAAGGTGTGTTAAACTTTTTTTCAAAAGTCGATATTATAAATCATTTAAATGTGTATATAAAAATTTTACAAACTTAAAAAGATTTAAATATAAATAAAAATGTAAAGTCAACAAATTAACACGTGATTAAAGTTTTTACAACAATTTAACTTGTGAAGGTCGGTTAAAGAAAATGCAAGCCAGTGAAGGGTTAGTATAGTAAGTAACTCGATAAACTTTTTACTGAATTACTAGTTAAAAAAGTAGGGTACTAGACAATTGAAATTTACCACATAATTTCTTCTACATTGTATTTACTTTTCTTATGTACTCTTATCTACAGTTCATCATAGTGGATAAATTATTAATAAAAATTAGTTGAATGAATTACATTCTCGATAACAAGTTGAAAAATCTTAAACTATAATTTTACGGAAGATCAGTTACAAAGATTAGATCGCCTTGAGAGCATCTTCAACCGCGTAAAAAAACCAAAATTTAAATAAATGACAAAGGATAAAAAAGCAGCCAAATAATATAAAAATGAAGTATTCTATAACGACTTTGGGCTTAAGTTTAGCGTTTATTTTATCATTTACTTTACAATTCGCTGAATGTGCCAAGATATTAGCTGTCTTTCCATTTCCTGGACCATCACAGTATATTCTAGTGCAACCATATTTAAAAGCTTTAGCCGCCAAAGGTCATGAGATGACAGTGATTAATGCTTTTCCTCAAAAAAAACCGATTGCTAATTTTCGAGATGTGCCCGTAATAGAAGTGCATGATAATTATGCGGGTAAATATAAGTTAAGATCATAGTCCATAATATAAGTAGTCAAGACTAATGTGTAAAATTTAGTATATAGATATATAAGTCTATAGTATAAGCAATATAGTCACTGTAGTCTATATTATAATCAAGACAATACAATACTATAGTTAATACTATAGCCTAAGTCAAGACTATAGACCATAATATAATCAAGATTATAGTTCAGACTATAAACTATATTAAAAATTATAGACTACATTATAGTCAAAACTATAAACTGTACTATAGACTAAATATTATAACATAAACTAGAGTTATTCTATTCTATAGTCTAAACTATGGCCTACACTATAGTCTTAACTAGAGTAAAAGCTATACCTATAGTATAGAATTTAGTTTATAAAAACTGTAGTCAAGACTATAGTTAATACTATATATACATATTATAGTCAATAATATAATGTAGTCAAGACTATTGTCTATACTATAGTCATAACTATTGCCCATACTATAGTCAAGACCCTTGCCGATACTCTAGGAAAGACTATAGTCTATACTATAGTTAAGACTATTGTCTAGATTCTAGCCAAGACTATAGTCTATTCTATAGTCAAATCCATTGTCTATACAATAGTCATGACTAACGACAATTGTATATACTATAGTCTATACTCTAGGCAATACTATAGTCATGACTATTGTATATACAATAGCCAAGACTATTGTCTATACTCTAGACAAGACTATAGTCTATACTATAACCAAGACTTTTGTCTATACTATAGTCATGACTATTGCCTATATTATAGTCAAGAATATTGTCTATACTCTAGGCAAGGATATAATCTATACTATAGTGAGATTATTGTATATTCTATAGCAAAGACTATTGTATATAAAGACTATATACAGTCATTAGTAAATTTGTTATTAAATACATTATTTATCTTCTTACAGAATTAGTAGAGTCAGCCAAAGTTAAACGTAACAAATGGGATGAAATGACATTTTTGGCTGGATTTCTTCTTAATCTCACCGAAACCGTTGTGAAAAATCCTGGTGTACAAAAATTACTCAATAATGAAAAATTCGATTTGGTTATAGTAGAAGCATTACACACAGATGCTTGGTATGCATTTGCTCGACATTTTAACGCACCTCTGATTGGTCTCTCTTCCTTCGGTACAGATCCCATTATTGATGAGCTAATGGGTAATATGTCACCACTTTCCTATTCGCCTCTAATAACAGCTGGCTTAACAGAACGCATGACCTATGGAGAACGTTTAAAGAATGTTATTTTATCATTTTTGGAAGTATTGCATGCACGAGTTCATACTATACCGCGTCAAAGAAAGCTAATAGAAACTTATTTGCCTCATATTAAGGAAGATATATGGGATTTGAGAACAAATTTTTCTCTAATGTTGCTGAATAATCATTTTAGTTTAAGTTTTCCCCGGCCTTATGTACCCAATATGGTGGAAGTTGGTGGTTTTCAAATATCCTATAAATCCAGGCCTTTGCCTCAAGATATTATGAATTTTATTAATTCCTCTGCAGAAGATGTAATCTATTTTTCCATGGGCTCTAATGTTAAATCAAAAGATTTTCCTCCTGAAAAATTGCAAATGTTAAATGAAGTCTTCAGTTCATTGCCCTATAAAATATTATGGAAATTTGAAAATCCCACTTTACCGGGCAAACCTAATAACGTGTTCATTAAATCCTGGTTTCCTCAACCCGATGTTTTGGCTCATCCCCGTGTTAAGCTGTTTATATCCCATGGTGGTTTACTAAGTACCTCAGAGGCTGTCTATCATGGCAAACCTATGTTGGGTTTGCCAGTATTCTACGATCAAAAGATGAATATTAAGAAAGCTGTACAATCTGGTTTTGCTTTGGACATCGATTTTCATACACTACCACGTGAGCAGTTTAAATCGAAGATTTTGGAAATGATGAATAATCCCAAATATTTGAATAACGCTAAAACTATATCGAACATTTTTCATGATCAACCCGTTAAACCTTTGGAATTGGCCATATATTGGACGGAATATGTTTTGAGACATAAGGGAGCAGTACATTTGAGAAATCCTGCACAAAAAATGAATTTTATACAAAAATATAGTATTGATACGGTGGGTGTTTTAGTGGGAGCCGTAATGTTGTGTGTTAGTTTTATTATAATTTCTGTGTTAAAAATTGTAAAATTAGTTTTCGGGAAAAAATCTGCTAAGAAAGTGAAAGTTAATTGAATAAAGAAAATAAAATTTATAGAAATTTATTTATTTGTTAGTTGTTTTATTTATTAGGTGAATGAAAGTAAGTTTTTTGATAAAAAAAATCCCCCGAAGTCTAAGTTTGAATTTAAATTCCCCAGTATATCAAACCAAAGCTGAAGTTTATACAATAAAAGACTATAAAAACTTTAGTCCATTTTATAGTCAAGTCTATTGTCTGTACTATAGTCGAGACCATAATCTATAATATAGGCCATACTATGGTCAGTTGGTTGGATTTACTGACGGACGGTATTGTACATTTTTGCTGATACTCAGAAATATTGGAATTGCCTTGAAAGCATTTTCTGAGTTCATTAAGTTATGGAAGATATGAACTTGGTCAAAGAGCAAAGTCCAATCAGTAGACTTAAAGCTAAAATTTTAAGCTCTTACACATCAAATATTTTTTCCGAAAAATAGTACAATTTTTAGTACATTTCAACTATGGCTAAAAAATCTGATACTCTGTTGAAAGCGCTTCTCAAAGACCTTTCACATGATATCAAAGTTTCATAATATTCTTGCGTTAAAGATGAAAAAATTAAAACCGTAAATTGTTCTTCAAATTTTTATGAGAATTGATCCGTATTAAACCCTAGACCCCATATAAAGACTTAATTGATATTGTGATACAATTTCATATACACAAATAAGTTTGGAATGACTTACATTGACAAGCAATGAGTTAAAAAGCTGTAAAGCAGTTTTTAACTGCTTCATTAGCATTAATAAAATAATTAATTAAATTTTAACACGGTGATGACATCGGAGTCAAATAACTACTTAAATAAGTGCTACAAATAAGGAGTTAATAATATATGAAAATAAAACTGTAAAACACATAATAAAGAACGTGCGTGCCTGATTATATGGAAGTTATTATGATAGTACTTAAAAGTAATACAGACGGTATGTAGTAGTCATTGAAAAGTGGTTGTGAAAGTATAAATCATTAACGAGTTTTTGCTTAGATATTATACCAAAAACAATTTTATAATGTGTAGGTTATTGTACGGCCGGGCATAACCGAATGTTGTATATGTGCTCATCTACATGTTTAAAAAATTTTTCTTTACCCCTTTTGTAATGTTGATATTTGTTGTAGTGAATAAAAGGCGTGTTGAATTTTTTTTAAAAAAGTCATCATTATAAAACATTTAAATTTTTTACAAGATTATATGCAAGTTGAATTAAATATAACTCAAATATAAAAATATAATAAAAATCAAAAACAAATAATACAATTGTTAACACGTGCTACAATTGACTGAACGAGTTAAGTTGTAAACTAAATGCAAGTCATCGAAGGAGTAACTCGATAACTGGGCTATAGTCTCCAGTAATAGAAATTATTTCTATTAAAGAAAGTAGTGTACCAAGCAGTTGAAATTTATTTTTAAAATTCCTTTACGTCGTATTTACTCTTATCTACTGTTAATTAATAAAAAATTACATTCTCAATAAAAGTGCATACTTGGCATACACAAACAAAAAACTGTAAATAAATATATTTAGTTAAAAAACTATTTTTACGGAAGATCAGTTACAAACACTAGATCGTCTAGAGAACATCTGAGGTAGCAGTAAACGGATATATCTTTAAATAAATTTGTCAGAATTAAAAGAAATAAAAATGAAGTGTTCAATTACATCTTTGTGCTTAAGTTTAGTAATTATTTTATCAATTACTTTAAAGTTTGTTGAATGTGCCAAAATTTTAGCTCTTTTTCCATTTCCTGGACCTTCGCAGTATATTCTAGTGCAACCGTATTTAAAAGCTTTAGCTGCTAAAGGTCATGAGCTGACAGTAATCAATGCTTTTCCACAAAAGCAACCAATCGTAAACTTTCGAGATGTGCTCGTAATGGAAGTGCATGCTAACTACGCGGGTAAGTATTTATTGATGTGACTATAGCCAGAACTATTGTCTATACTATACTCAAGACTAAAGCTTATGCTACAGTCATGACTATAGTCTATGCTATTGTCAAGACAATAGTCTGTTCTATAGTCAAGGCTAGAGTCTATACCATTGTCATTCTACTTATAGCCAGAACTATAGTCTATACTATACTCAAGACTATAGTTTATACGACAGTCACGAATATAGTCTATGCTATAGTCAAGACATTAGACTATACTATAGTCAAGACTATAGTCTATACTATAGTCAAAACTATAATCTACACTATAGTCAAGACTATAGTCTATACTATAATCTATACTATAGTCAAAACTATAATCTACACTATAGTCAAGACTATAGTCTATACTATAGTCAAGTCTATAGTCTATACTATAGTCAAGACTATAGTCTATACTACAGTCAAGACTATAGTCTATACTATAGTCAAGACTATAGTCTATACTATAGTCAAGACTAAAGTCTATACTATAGTCAAGACTATAGTCTATACTATAGACAAGATTATAGTCTATACTATAGTCAAGACTATAGTCTATACTATAGTCAAGACTATAGTCAAGGCTATAGTCAAGATAGTCTATACTACAGTCAAGACTATAGTCTATACTACAGTCAAGACTATAGTCTATACTACAGTCAAGACTATAGTCCATACTAAAGTCAAGACTATAGTCTATACTATAGTCAAGACTATAGTCTATACTATAGTCAAGACTATAGTCTATACTATAGTCTATACTATAGTCAAGACTATAATCTATACTGTAGTCAAGACCATAGTCTATACTATAGTCAAGACTATAGTCTATACTATAGTCAAGACTATAGTCAAGATTATAGTATATACTATAGTCAAGATTATAGTCTATAATATAGTCAAGACTATAGTCTATACTATAGTCAAAACTATAGTGTATACTATAGTCAAGACTATAGTCTATACTATAGTCAAGACTATAGTCCATACTAAAGTCAAGACTATAGTCTATACTAAAGTCAATACTATAGTGCATACTATAGTCTATACTATAGTCAAGACTATAGTCTATACTTTAGTCAAGACTATAGTGTATACTATAGTCAAGACTATAGTCTATACTATAGTCAAGACTATAGTCTATACTATAGTCAAGACTATAGTCTATACTATAGTCAGTACTATAGTCTATACTATGGTCAATACTATAGTCAAGACTATAGTCTATACTATAGTCTATACTATGGTCAATACTATAGTCAATACTATAGTCTATACTATAGTCAAGACTATAGTCTACACTACAGTCAAGACTACAGTCTATACTATAGTCAAGACTATAGTCTATACTGTAGTCAAGACTATAGTCTATACTATAGTCAAGACTATAGACTATACTATAGTCAAGACTATAGACTATACCATAGTCAAGACTATGGTCTGCACTATAGTCAAGACTATGGGCTATACTATAGTCAAGACTATAGTCTATACTATAGTCAAGACTATAATCTATACTATAGTCAATACTATAGTCTATACTATAGTCAATACTATAGTCTATACTATAGTCAATACTATAGTCTATACTATAGTCAATACTATAGTCTATACTATAGTCAAGACTATAGTCTATACTATAGTCAAGGCTATAGACTATACTATAGTCAAGACTATAGACTATACCATAGTCAAGACTATAGACTATACCATAGTCAAGACTATAGACTATACCATAGTCAGGACTATGGTCTGCACTATAGTGAAGACTATGGGCTATACTATAGTCAAGACTATAGTTTATTATTATGGTCAAAATTTTAATCTATTGTATAGTCAAAACTATAGTCTATTCTATAGTAATGATAATAGTCTACACTGTAGTGAGTTAGTCTATTCTATAGTCATGAATATAGTCAATGCTAGTTGCAGTCAAAACCGTTATGGTTTATACTATAGTTATAGTCAAGACTATAGCCAAGACTATATTAGTGACCAAACTATATATTTTATTCAATACTACTTTAATTATATTTTTTACAGCTTTTTGAATATTTAGGTCGACAGCTAATCTTAAACCATTTTCTTACAGAATTTGTTGAATCAGCCAAAACCAAACGTAACAAATGGGAAGAAATGACATTTTTGGCTGGATTTTTTCTTAATCTTACTGAAACCGTTATGAAAAATCCTGGTGTACAAAAATTACTCAATAATGAAAAATTCGATCTTGTTATAGTAGAAGCCCTTCATACTGATGGCTGGTATGCCTTTGGCAGACATTTTAATGCACCTTTGGTTGGTCTTTCCTCCTTCGGTACAGATCCCATTATTGATGAGCTAATGGGTAATATGTCACCACTGTCCTATTCGCCCCTAATAACTGCTGGATTAACAGAACGCATGACTTATGGAGAACGCTTAAAAAATGTTATTCTATCATTTTTGGAAGTATTACATGCACGAGTTCATACCATACCGCGGCAAAGAAAACTGGTACAAACTTATTTGCCTCATATTAAGGAAGATATATGGGATTTGAGAACAAATTTTTCTCTCATGTTGCTGAACAATCATTTTAGTTTAAGTTTTCCACGGCCTTATGTACCCAATATGGTGGAAGTGGGTGGTTTTCAAATATCCTATAAATCAAAGCCTTTGCCTCAAGATATTATGAATTTTATAAATTCCTCTACACAAGATGTGATCTATTTTTCCATGGGCTCTAATGTTAAATCAAAAGATTTTCCTCCTGAAAAATTGCAAATGTTAAATGAAGTCTTCAGTTCATTGCCCTATAAAATATTATGGAAATTTGAAAATCCCACTTTACCGGGCAAACCTAATAATGTGTTCATTAAATCCTGGTTTCCTCAACCCGATGTTTTGGCTCATCCCCGTGTTAAGCTGTTTATATCCCATGGTGGTTTACTAAGTACCGCAGAGGCTGTCTATCATGGCAAACCTATGTTGGGTTTGCCAGTTTTCTACGATCAACAAATGAATATTAGAAAATCCGTACAATCTGGTTTTGCTTTGGACATCGATTTTCATACTCTACCACGAGAGCAGTTTAAATCGAACATTTTGGAAATGATGAATAATCCCAAATATTTGAATAATGCTAAAACTATATCGAACATTTTTCATGATCAACCCGTTAAACCTTTGGATTTGGCTGTATATTGGACGGAGTATATTTTAAGGCATAACGGGGCTGTACATTTGAAGAATCCTGCTCAAACTATGAATTTTATTCAAAAATATAGTATTGATACGGTGGGTGTTTTAGTGGGCGCAGCAGTGTTGTGTGTTATTTTAGTGATTGTCGCGGTTTGGAAATTTGTTAAATTGATTTTAGAGAAAAAATCGATAAAGAAGGAGAAAGTTAATTAAATATATATTTACAGATGTTTTATATATTTTGTGTTTGATTTAAATAAATTCTTGCTAAAATTCAGTGAATAGTATTTTCCTATATTATGTCAGAATATTGCCTTGGAATAATTATGGACAGATTCTCATGATTTAAAAAATTATGAAATTTGTAAGAGTTTTTTCAAGGGTTTAGAGGTTTTAAAGAAGTTTTTTCAAGTTTAAGTTTTAGAAAATACGAGCAAACAGTAAGAATCTGTTAGAGGAAACATATAGATACACAGACAGACAGACAGACAGACAGACAGACGGACAGACGGACAGACAGACGGACAAACAGACGTACGATCATACAAAAAGACAAACATAAAGACATCTGAGTGTCAAACAAATAAACAGATGTACGTACGGACGGACATACAGAAAGACAGACGGACAGAACATATGTTTATGAATTTATGATGTTCTGCCGTAATTTGGACTTTAAAGTAAAAATTGTTCATACTGCTTTTTAAAACAAAGTACCATTAGTATATACATAGTTTGACCATCAGATTTCATATCTCACAATTGAATCATAAACTAATTTGTATATTATGAGATAAAGTACTTATTAAGTTATTATATGCATTCTTGAAGTCTTATCATTAGAGCCAAAATAATATGTTTAGTTAACAAAAAACTTTCCTGTTAAATACTACTAAATGTTTCGGTATTAAAATGAAAAAAAGTTTAATTTTCAAAACATTTCTCACTTACGCAACCTTAATATGCTTGATTTCTCCTACAAATGGAGCAAAAATTTTGTCTATATTTGGTCTACCAGGACCCTCCCAGTACATAATGGCTTCTGCTTTATTAAAGGGTTTAGCCGAAAGAGGCCATGAGGTTACCTCCATATCGACATTTCCACAAAAAACTCCAGTTAAAAATTTTCGAGATATAGCGGTAATGGAAAATTCTAAACTATTTGAGAGTAAGTAAAATAAAGTAAACAAATTTTCGAAAAAGTTTTGCCATAATTTTGTTTATCTTTATTAAGCCTTAATGACAGAAGCTGTGGAGGAAACTAATGAAAAAGGTTTCTTTAGAGAAATGCGTGAATTTGGCGAGACAGGCTATAAAATGGTCAGCAATGTCTTGGAACATCCAAAAGTTAAACATATTATGAAAACTGAAAAATTTGATTTGATCATAGTCGAGACCATACTAAGTGAAGCTCTCTATGGTTTGGGTGAATATTTTCAGGCTCCTATGGTGGGTGTTTCCACCTTTGGTACTATCAATTTTGTGGACTATTTAGTGGGCAATGTCTCGCCCATGTCGTATATACCACATATTTCTTTACCCTATGAAAATCGCATGAGTCTCAAGGAAAGAATCCGTAATGTGGTAACGCATATCGTAGATGATTTGCATTACAATTATATAATGCTACCACCCCAAGAGAAACTTTATAAGAAATATTTTCCCTCAGCCAAACTAACATTGGATGAGGCCCAAAGAAATTTTTCTTTAGTGCTGATAAATCAACATTTTACTTTGAGTTATCCCCGACCATATGTATCCAATATGATTGAGGTAGGAGGTTTGCATATAAAACAACAGCCAGATCCTTTACCTCAAGACCTGCAAGAATTTCTAGATAATGCTCAAGAGGGAGCCATATATTTCTCCATGGGTTCTAATTTGAAAAGTAAAGATATACCAGCTGAAACTTTAAAAGTATTTTTGGACACATTTAGAGAATTAAAAGTAAAAGTTTTATGGAAATTTGAAGCTGAATCATTAGCCCAGAAACCGGACAATGTTTTCATTAAAGCTTGGTATCCTCAGCCCTCGGTATTGGCTCATCCTAATGTTAAACTCTTCATTTCCCATGGTGGTTTCTTGAGTACAACTGAAACTATATTTCATGGTAAACCCATATTGGGTATACCCGTTTTTGGGGATCAACCCATGAATGTTAAAAATGCTGTTAAGGCAGGTTATGCTTTATCCTTGAAATTAGATGAAATCACTAAAGAATCTTTTAAATCGACTATAATGGAACTTTTAACAAACGAACGTTATACCAAGAGAGTACAACAGTTGTCTAGACAATATCGAGATCAACCGCTGACACCTTTAGAAACAGCTATATATTGGATTGAATATGTTTTGAGACATGAAGGTGCCGTACATATGCGTAATGCTGGTCAGGATTTGAACTATTGGCAACGTAATAGTATCGATGTATTTGTGATTTTGTGTGGCGGTTTAGTGATTGTTATTATAACTTTAGTAATTGTATTAAGATTGCTAATAAAACTATTGTGTGGTATTAATAAGTTTAGGAATGCTATACAGAAATCTAAATTAAATTAATTTTGTGTTAATAAAGCAATAAATAACACTTTTGTATTAGAGTTCTTACTTTTTATTATTTTCCTTGACTAGTAGTCTTATTATTGATCTATTTGTAATTTCATCAGAAATATTAATGGTTTCTTCCATTAGTTATAAATTTTTTATATAGATACTAAATATAGTAGTATAGTATAGTATTAAAAATTATCAAAACATAACTACTAAATTATAAAAGTGATAAGATTGTAAATAAATTGCTTGAGAGATTTTATTTATTTTAATTTGATAAGTAAAGTTTTTTTTGTAAACAGTTAATTACTAGCTATGAACAGTACTAATAAAGAGCTAAGCCGAAACTTAAATACCCTCCACCTCAAACAGATTAATTAAAATTATTTTAATATTATTAAAAAGAAATTAAAATTTTGGTTCATAATTTCTTATGGTAATGTTTTGGTAAAAACTTACTTTTCAATGACTACTGCATACCTTCTGCATTATTTATAAAAAGTGAATTAATCGTTTACAAATAACTACATACGTAAGTACATACTTTTTATACCCTACACCACTTTAGTGGGGAGGGTATATTGGGTTTGTGCTGATGTTTGTAACGCACAATAATATTGGTCCTATACCCACCTTAATATACCAATCGGCTCAGAATCATTTTCTGAGTCGATTTAGCTATGTCCGTCCGTCTGTCCGTCCGTCCATGTAAACCTTGTAATCAAACTACAGGTCGCAATTTTGAAGATAATTCAATGAAATATGGTACATGATCTTCTATTGTCCCAGGGACGAAGCCTATTGAAAATGGTTAAGATCGGTCTATTATTTCACCTAGCCCCCATACAACTGAACCCCCCAATAGGGCTTGTAATCCTTGTAATCTAACTACAGGTCGCAATTTTCGAGATAATTCAATGAAATTTGGCACATGATCTTTTATGGTATCGTAGACGAAGCCTATTGAAAATGGTTAACATCGGTCCATTATTTCACCTAGCCCCCATACAACTGAACCCCTCGAATAGGGCTTTTAAAACTTGTAATCAAATACAGGTCGCAATTTTGGAGATAATTCAATGAAATTTGGCACATGATCTTTTATGGTACCGTAGATGAAGCCTGTTGAAAATGGTTTACATCGGTCCATTATTTCACCTAGTCCCCATACAACTGAACCCGCCGAATAAGGCTTTTAAGTTCATAATTATGTTTAATATACTCATATCTCGACAAAAAGCTGCAATAACCAAGTTGTATACAAGACTTGATGACCCTCACGAATTCCATAATAATAGGTTCTCATATGACCCTAGCCCCTATGAAAAGTCCCCATCAAAATTTCACTTAAATGTCCACAATTTTATTCAACAATAAACGGCTTAAGTATGTATATCTAAGGCAAGGTACAATTCAACTTAAATGCTTTATTGTGGCAATTAAATCACATTATATTTTTGTCAAAGGTGTAGGGTATTATATGGTCGGCCTCGCCCGACTATAATTTCTTACTTGTTAGCATTTATATTTTGTTTTAGAATTTTATTATTTACTCAAACAGAACAAAATTGTAATTTTATGCCGTTATTAGCAAGCGATTGTATTAAGTACTTTGTAAGCCATCTCGTTAATTACTTGGCTCCACTGACATCACCGTATAAAAGTAATTACTGAAAGTGCTATATTGTGTAAGTAAATTTTAGCATTTTAGCCCTTTACTTGATAATGCAAATTTTTGATGTGTACAACTCAAGAGGTAAGCATATATGTATGTGTACATTAGGGCGGCCCCGTTTTTATGGTGAAAAATAAGGTGGGCTTTTGATTTCGGCGGAAATATCAGTGCCGAAATCAAAAGCCCACCATCAAAAGAAGACAACAGATACCCCACAGAGGAGTGACTGTGAGACTAAGCGTTGGAAATGAGTTGATGTTAATTTTATATGATACAGGATGAATTCGGGCCTTGCCCACTCGTATACCTAGAATAAGTGTGTTGTGTGTTGTTCTCTTATAAGTGTGTCGGATGAATGAGAAGTGTGATGGGTTGAATGATGATGGATGAAAGGTGATACTATTGAATTTTCCCTCCATTTCCAGGTATATTCAGAGTAAACTCTGTTCATGTCAGAATTATCACAGTGCGTCACTGTGAGTACTTCATACTTCGGTCTACCGGTTATGTCTCTAGGTGCTGTTGCCGACTCAACAGAGGCTATCCCATCTTCGTGGTTCTAAACGGAAGTGATGTTTTGTAACTCGGAATTAAGCAACGGAGCAGCAATGGTCAGAGATTAGATAGCTCAAGTACTTGAGCAAAGTGCACGTATACTGGACCGGAACATCCATATATAAATTGCCACCTGCGTGTAACAAGCGCAATGGGGCGGTGGTGAGTCGTCACAAAAGCTCACCCACTGGTTGAAAAAGACCACCGTGAAATAAGCCAACACGGCCGTAAAATAAAGAGCATTTCGTTAGGTTCCCCTTATTTTGGTTCATAATTGACTTCTTCACTCGTACTCGTATTTGTAGTAGGTAATAAATATTAAAACCATTTTCTAAAGTGGACTGGTATAGTTAACGACTGAACCTTCTCAAATTTTAATGTTTAAGCCAGTAATGATTATTAAAATCATTTTGAGAAGGGAACTTTATATGGGAGATAGGGTCAATGGTGGACCGAAAACTTTGGTAGGAAGATTTCAAGTTTTATAAGCTTGATTATGTAGAATTGTATCGCTGTACTAGTAATAATAGACAGTAATGAACTAAGTTAAACTTATTTTCTGAAGAATGAAATAATGAACTTTGTTCTTATTTTCTGAAGAACAAAGTTTTCTGTAAAAACTTGCTCATGTCTAGAGCAAAGCGTTCTATTAAAACTAGCGGTAGTCTAAAGCTAAGTTTTCTAAAAAAAATTTGCTTTAGTCTAGAGCAAAGTTTTTTGTAAAAACTTGCCCTAGTATAGAGCAAAGATTTGTATAAAAACTTGTTCTAGTCTAAAGCAAAGTTTTTTATAAAAACTCGCTCTAGTCTAAAGCAAAGTTTTCTATATAAACTTGCTGTCGTCTAGATCAAAGTTTTCTATAAAAACTAGCTCTAGTCTAGAGCTAATTTTCTATAAAATCTTGCTATAGTCTAGAGCAAAGTTTTCTATAAAAACGTGCTCTAGTCTAGAGCAAAGCGTTTTATTAAAACTTGCTGTAGTCTAAAGCTAAGTTTTCTAAAAAAATAGCTTTAGTCTAGAGCAAAGTTTTCTGTAAAAACTTGTTCTAGTCTAGAGCAAAGTTTTCTATATAAACTTCCTGTGGTCTAGAGCAAAGTTAGTTATAAAAACTTGCTTTAGTCTAGAGCAAAGTTTTCTATAAAAACTTTCTCTAGTCTAAAGCAAAGTTTTCTATAGAAACTTGTAGTTTAGAGAAAAGTTTTGTAGAAAAAAGACTCAATAGACTTAGTACTTGGTCCAAAAATGTCGTATGCAGCTTGTGCACAAGGTGGTGTAGGGTATTATATTGATGGGTTTTACCGAATATACTATTTTAATTGCTTTTATTAAACTTCAAAGACTTAAACCGTTTATGGTTGAATGGTTTCGGTTTTGTATGCTAGACACATTTTTGGATGCACTATTGTTAGGCAATTTTTTCTTTTAAAATAACGTCATTTAATACAAAGTATATTATTAAACATGCAATTCAATTTAGTACCATTTATGGTGCAAAAGTACTTTAGGCTCTTGAACCTAGTACCATATATTGCGTAAAAGTACCTTTTTCGTGAGTAATTATTTCTACCTTTTTATTACACTTAGATTAGAACAACAATCTTTAGTTTGTTAAGATAAGAAAATAAATGTTTAGTATATTTACCGGCTTGCAACTTGTATACATTTACTCAGTTTATATTTAACCTTACACATAAACACATCAGACTAATTATAAGGGCGCTGAAATGAAGTTGTTTTTAGTTTTTAAAATATTACTATTTTGCACTATATTTACAATACTTTTATGCGAAACAAATGGAGCAAAAATATTATCAATATTTGGATTTCCAGGACCCTCACAATATATAATGGCTTCAGCTTTATTAAAAGGTTTAGCTGAACGAGGCCATGAGGTTACCTCCATATCAACATTTCCACAAAAAATGCCAGTGAAAAATTTTAGAGATATAGCGGTAATGGAAAATGCTAAACTGTTTGATGGTAAGTTATATTGATTTACAAAACAGAAAAACTTAGTTAATTTTATTAAATTTCTTTTCAACAATAAAGCTTTCACTAATGAGGCGGTGTGCGAGGAAAAGAAAGAAACTAATTTCTTTGAAGAGTTTGCAGAATTTTCTGAAATTGGTGTTCAAATGGTGCAAAATGTTCTAGAAAATCCAAAAGTTAAGGATATAATGAAACATGAAAAATTCGATTTGATAATTGTGGAAGCTTTATGTGATGCTTTATATGGTTTTGGTCAACATTTCAATGCCCCTATGGTGGGTGTATCCACGTTCGGTACAGTTAACTTTATAGATGTTTTAGTAAATAATATATCACCCATGTCGTATATACCACACATGGGTTTACTTTATGACAATCATATGAGCCTAACTGAGAGACTGTGGAATGTTATTTTCCATATAATAGATGATTTACATTTCAATTATATAAGGCTGCCACCTCAAGAGAAACTTTTCCATAAATATTTCCCAGAATCCAAACATACTTTCGATGAAGCGCGAAAAAATGTCTCTTTGGTTTTGTTAAATCAACATTTTACCTTAAGTTATCCCAGACCATATGTTACTAATATGGTTGAGGTGGGAGGTTTACATATAAAACAAAAACCTGATCCTTTGCCTCAAGATCTACAAGAATTTCTAGACAATGCCACCGAAGGGGCTATATATTTCTCTATGGGTTCTAATTTGAAAAGTAAAGATATTCCAGCTGAAACTTTAAAGGTATTTTTGGACACTTTTAGAGAATTAAAATTAAAGGTTCTATGGAAATTTGAAGCTGAGACATTACCCAATAAACCGGACAATGTTTTTATTAAAGCCTGGTATCCCCAACCCTCCGTGTTGGCTCATCCTAATGTTAAGCTGTTTATTTCTCATGGCGGTTTCTTGAGTACCACCGAAACTATATTCCATGCTAAACCCATATTGGGTATACCCGTTTTTGGTGATCAACCTATGAATGTTAATAATGCTGTAAAATCCGGTTATGCTTTATCTTTGAAATTGCATGAAATTACCAAAGAATCATTTAAGTCTAGCATAATGGAACTTTTAAGTAACGATCGTTATACTAAACGTGTTCAACAATTATCGAAACGTTATAGAGATCAACCGCAAACTCCTTTGGAAAAGGCCATTTACTGGATTGAGTACGTTTTGAGACATGAAGGCGCAGTTCATATGCGTAATCCCGGTGTGGATTTGAATTATTTCCAGCAATATAATATTGATGTTTTTGCCATCTTAGTTGGAGGTTTAGTGCTTATAGTTATGGTTATTGTTATTGTCATACGTTTTGTGGTGAAATTGTTGGGTGGTAAGAAAAAATCAAAGAAAAGTTCGAGTAAAAATAAGCCTAAACGTAGTTAATTTTATAAATAATACTTGTGTGATTTTATACATTTAATAAAATAAAGAATTTTTTTAAATACATGATTTAATTGTTTTCATTTGTGATCACGTAATATTTGTTTATTTGTTTTACCATGAGATCTAGGGCGGTATCTTAATGTTATCATTTTGTTTGTAACATATTGTAATATTGAGCGATCAGTAAGTAAATCATTTAAATTTTATGCCGCCCGTCAATATAATGACATATACATACATATGTACATACATATGTTTCTCAGTCTGTTTGTCTGTTTATCTGTATGTGTATTGGTTTGTATTTCAGTTTTACTGTCGGCCTATTGAAATCACAATAGATTCTAAACAGTAGAAGCTGGAAATCTGAAATATATATTTTCTCATTTGATATTGTTTGTTTATTGTCTGTCTGTCTGTCTGTCTGTCTGTCTGTCTGTCTGTCTGTCTGTCTGTCTGTCTGTCTGTCTGTCTGTCTGTCTATCTGTCTGTCTGTCTGCTTTTCTCTCTGTCTGTCTGCCTTCCTCTCAATTGTATATTTCTTTTGTCTTTTTATTTACTCATTGAAAATATGACAGATTTGATATATTTGATATATTCTCTCAATTTATAAGATTTGTTTGCTACAGAGAATATAGAAAAATTACAACCTAATAGCTGAACTTTGGAATAGCAAAAACATTTTGTATTTAAATTATAGACTAATGAAAATTTCAAACAAGTTCTCTTTGCATTAGTAAACAAATGATGACATTGTAAAATTATAAACAAAAATACATATGTACATACTTGGAAAAAAATATATATTTTGTTTGTTTTGTTTTTAATCGTTAGAAACCGGGGTTGTTTATATATAAGGGGTCTGATTCATGAACATTTATCAAAGGTTTATAAAGAAATTATCATACAAAATTGATAAATTGTTATCAATAAATCTCAAAATATATACATACAAGTATTTGTTTGAGATGCTTGATTTGTGATTCTGTTTTAAAAGAGTTTAAAAATATTATCGAATAATCTAATCAACTCGAGAATTTTAAATTTAATTTGAGATTTACAAAAAAATATATAAATGCATCTGGTTTAGTTGGGTAAGCAATTTTCTATTGAAAGAAATCCAATTTGTACATATAATTCTTAGCATTCATGCATACATACATATATTTTTGTATGTACATAAGTATATGTATGCATATCTCTTGAGTTGTACCCGGCATAAACTTTCATTACCAATTAAAGTGATAAAATTAGAATATAGAATTTTATGACATTATTTCAACACGGTGACGACATTAGAGGCAAGTACTAAGCACGCTCGCTTACAAATAGGTAGTTAAATAAGTACATACTACGATCGCTTTCTGAGAAGGACTTAAGTAAGTAGTTTTGTTGAAACTACAAACAAAATTTCAAGGCTAAAAAGGAAGTACATACTTACAGTCATAGTTATCTGTAAGTTATTCCTAGACTCATTCGAAGTAATGCACAAGGTATGTAGAAGCCAATGACAAGTAAGTTGTTGGGTAAGTGCAAGTTTTTGCTGGGTATGTATTGTACATATTAATTTAAAAAGTATAAACGCACCGAAAAGTAGCATTTCTCTGAGTAAAAGTTGTATTTTTTTGTTTGCTTTGTTTAATAAAAAAATCTAAATAAATTTAAGCACAAAGTAAATTTCTATTAAACAATTTATTAAATTTGGTCTGATGGCGCATACATTTTTGAAAACATTTTTAGTTTGTTCAAACAATTGCATTCGTTCGCACTTAACTCGCGCGTTAGTAAAATGAAATTATTTTTATTTATTAAATTATTTACTATATCTACAATAATATCTACGACATTGATAATACAAACAAATGGAGCAAAAATATTATCAATATTTGGTTATCCCGGACCATCACAATATATAATGGCTTCAGCTTTACTAAAAGGTTTAGCTGAACGAGGTCATGAGATCACTTCTATATCAACATTTCCCCAAAAAACTCCAGTGAAAAATTTTCGGGATATAGCAGTTATGGAAAATTCTAAATTATTTGAGTGTAAGCTTTAAAATTAAGCGAATTATATAAATTAATTCTATAACATAATAATTAATCTTATTTCGTTTAGCTTTAATGTCTACTGCAGTTGGTGAGAAGAAGGAGAAAACTTTCTTTCAAGAATTATTTGAATTTTCTGAATTTGGTTACCAAATGGTACAGAACATAATGGAAAACTCTCAAGTTAAAGATATTTTGAAAAATGAAAAGTTCGATTTAATTATATTGGAAGCTCTCTACTGTGATGCCTTATATGGTTTGGGTCAACATTTTAATGCTCCTATGGTGGGTGTATCCACTTTTGGTACTATAAATTTTGTTGATGTCTTGGTAAATAATATATCACCCATGTCCTATATACCACACATGTCTTTGTCCTATGACAATCATATGAATCTTCAAGAGCGATTGACTAATGTAATCGCCAGTATTACAGATGATTTTCTTCATAATTTTCTAATGCTGCCTCAACAAAAGAAACTTTTCGAAAAATATTTTCCCTCCTCGAAGCTGACATTCGAAGAAGCTCGTAAGAATTTCTCTTTAGTTTTGTTAAATCAACATTTTACTTTGGGTTTCCACAGACCTCTGGTACCCAATATGATTGATGTAGGTGGTTTGCATATAAAGCAAAAACCTGATCCTTTACCACAAGATCTACAAGAATTTCTAGATAATGCCTCAGAAGGAGCTATATATTTCTCAATGGGTTCAAATTTAAAGAGCAAGGATATACCAGCTGAAACCTTAAAAGTTATACTAGACACTTTTAGGGAATTAAAAGTAAAGGTGCTATGGAAATTTGAAAATGAGTCACTAGCCAATAAGCCAGATAATGTTTTCATAAAATCCTGGTATCCCCAGCCCTCAGTATTAGCTCATCCTAATGTTAAACTATTCATATCTCATGGCGGCTTCTTGAGTACCACAGAAACTATATTTTATGGCAAACCCATACTAGGCATACCCGTTTTTGGCGACCAACCTATGAATGTTAAAAATGCTGTTAAAGCTGGTTATGCTCTGTCCTTAAAGTTGGATGAGTTAACTAAGGAGTCCTTTAAATCCACCATTGTAGAACTTTTAACAAATGATCGTTACACTAAGAGGGTCCAGCAGTTATCGAGACGTTATAGAGATCAGCCTCAAACTCCCCTGGAAACGGGCATTTATTGGATTGAATATGTTTTAAGGCATGATGGTGCTCCTCATTTAAGGAATGCTGGAATGGACTTAAATTATTTGCAGCAATATAATATTGATGTGTTTGCTATATTAGGTGTAGTTTTCCTTGTGATTATTATAGTTTTTGTAATTTTTGTACGTTTATTGTTTAAGTGTCTCTGTGGCAGTGGTAAATTAAAGAAAACTACTGGCACAAATAAAGTGAAACGTAATTAATAAACTAGATTATAAATGATGAGATTGATTTTTAAAATTTGCTGATATATGTAATTAAAATAAAAACATTGTGTAATTTGAAATTTTGTTAAAATTTAAATGTTTTTTTGTGCGCAAATTGTTGAATTAAACATAAAATCCTAAAGAAACCATATCTTTGAAAATATGTTAACTAACTAACTAACTAACTAACTAACTAACTAACTAACTAACTAACTAACTAACTAACTAACTAACTAACTAACTAACTAACTAACTAACTAACTAACTAACTAACTAACTAACTAACTAACTAACTAACTAACTAACTAACTAACTAACTAACTAACTAACTAACTAACTAACTAACTAACTAACTAACTAACTAACTACTAACTAACTAACTAACTAACTAACTAACTAACTAACTAACTAACTAACTAACTAACTAACTACTAACTAACTAACTAACTAACTAACTAACTAACTAACTAACTAACTAACTAACTAACTAACTAACTAACTAACTAACTAACTACTAACTAACTAACTAACTAACTAACTAACTAACTAACTACTAACTAACTAACTACTAACTAACTAACTACTAACTAACTAACTAACTAACTAACTAACTAACTAACTAACTAACTAACTAACTAACTAACTAACTAACTAACTAACTAACTAACTAACTAACTAACTAACTAACTAACTAACTAACTAACTAACTAACTAACTAACTAACTAACTAACTAACTACTAACTAACTAACTAACTAACTAACTAACTAACTACTAACTAACTAACTAACTACTAACTAACTAACTAACTAACTAACTAACTAACTAACTAACTAACTAACTAACTAACTAACTAACTAACTAACTAACTAACTAACTAACTAACTACTAACTAACTAACTAACTAACTAACTAACTAACTAACTAACTAACTAACTACTAACTAACTAACTAACTAACTAACTAACTAACTAACTAACTAACTAACTAACTAACTAACTAACTACTAACTAACTAACTAACTAACTAACTAACTAACTAACTAACTAACTAACTACTAACTAACTAACTAACTAACTACTAACTAACTAACTAACTAACTAACTAACTAACTAACTAACTACTAACTAACTAACTAACTAACTACTAACTAACTAACTAACTAACTAACTAACTAACTACTAACTAACTAACTAACTAACTAACTAACTAACTAACTAACTAACTAACTAACTAACTAACTAACTAACTAACTAACTAACTACTACTAACTAACTAACTTACTACTAACTAACTAACTTACTTACTTACTAACTAACTAACTAACTAACTAACCAACTAACTAACCAACTAACTAACTAACTAACTAACTAACTAATTAACTTTCTTGTTGTAGAATTTTTAATTGTAATGTAATGAACTTTCATAACATTGGAAAACATAATGTTTCGTATTATTGAATAAATTATCGTAAATATTACGAAAAATGTAGTTACGAAATTTTTTTGTAAAGTTAAGCATGGATTGTTTTCAGTGTAATAAAAGTGCATTGTTGATGGAATCTGATCTAATTAAAAACGTTTTGATAATGTAATATTAAAACTTACAAATATTCAGGAAGAGTCTATCTTTCGAATCGAAACGCATTGTTCTCAAATAGTTAATAATCTTTTACCTAGTTTTCAGATATTGTATATAATGAGTGCTACTTTAAATCTTTGTTTTGCTTGCTTTCATTAAAAAGTTCTCTACTATCGCGACAATGTTTCTAAATATTTCATCACTAAATGTCTGAATATATTTACTATAAAATGATTAGAAATTAACTTTATAGATTTCAAGATAAGACAAATATAAAAAGCTTTTCGAACAAGTAGGTACCTATCTACCTCACAATATTTTTACTTTGTGTAATAAGTATTTATTTAGTTCCTACTAAGTGCTGCCCTTAAACGGTTGTGAAATGAAATTAAATATATTTCTCATTTGTGGCATTTTTACTTTATTTTTAACTCAAACAAATGGAGCAAAAATATTATCAATATTTGGCTATCCAGGACCCTCACAATATATAATGGCTTCGGCTTTATTAAAGGGTTTAGCTGAACGAGGCCATGAGGTTACCTCCATATCAACTTTTCCCCAAAAAACGCCAGTGAAAAATTTTAGAGATATAGCAGTAATGGAAAATTCTAAACTCTATGAGGGTATGAAGTTTACTAAAATTTTATTTGTAAGGGTAATTGATGATATTTTATTCATACTTTTAATTCCAGCTACAATGACAGAAGCGGTTGGTGGTGAGGAGAAAAAGAAAAGTTTTTTCGAAGAGTTATTTGAATTCACTGATTTTGGCGTACAAATGGTAACGAATGTGCTGGAACATCCAAAAGTAAAGGATATTATGAAAAATGAAAAATTCGATTTAATAATTGTAGAGGCTTTATTATGTGATGCTCTATATGGTTTGGGACAACATTTCAATGCTCCCGTGGTGGGTGTATCCACTTTTGGTACCATCAATTTTGTTGATGTTTTAGTGAATAATATATCGCCCATGTCGTATATACCTCATATATCGCTGCCTTATGATAATCGCATGAATCTTCAAGAAAGACTGGTCAATGTTGTCTCCACTGTTTTTGATGACTTTTTGTATAATTTCCTAATGTTGCCGCCACAGGAAAAACTTTTTCATAAATATTTTCCCTCCTCTCAAATGACATTTGATGAGGTGCGTAAAAATGTTTCTTTGGTTTTGTTAAATCAACATTTTACCTTAAGTTATCCCCGACCATATGTTACCAATATGATTGAAGTGGGAGGTTTACATATAAAGCAAAAACCTGATCCTTTGCCTCAAGATTTACAAGAATTTCTGGATAATGCTACTGAAGGGGCCATTTATTTCTCTATGGGTTCTAATTTGAAAAGTAAAGATATACCAGCTGAAACTTTAAAGCTATTTTTGGACACTTTTAGAGAATTAAAAGTAAAGGTTTTATGGAAATTTGAAGCTGAGACATTACCCAATAAACCGGACAATGTTTTTATTAAAGCCTGGTATCCACAACCTTCCGTTTTGGCTCATCCTAATGTTAAGCTATTTATTTCTCATGGCGGTTTCTTAAGTACCACCGAAACCATATTCCATGGCAAACCCATATTGGGTATACCGGTTTTTGGTGATCAACCCATGAATGTTAAAAATGCTGTAAAATCTGGTTATGCGTTATCTTTGCAACTGAAAGAAATTACTAAGGAATCGTTTAAAGCCAGTATTATGGAACTTTTAACTAATGAACGTTATACCAAAAGAGTTCAACAATTATCGAAACGTTTTAGAGATCAGCCTCAAACACCCCTGGAAACTGCCATTTACTGGATTGAGTATGTTTTGCGGCATAAAGGCGCTGTTCATATGCGTAATCCTGGTGTTGATTTGAACTATTTCCAACAATATAATCTTGATGTTTTCGCTATATTAGCAGCAGGTTTAGTTGTGGTTACAACAGTGTTAGTATTAGTTGTCCGTTTATTGGCTAAATTGTTGAGTGGCACGAAAAAAACGAAGAAAAATAAAGTAAAGCGTAATTAATGAAAAAGATAAGTATTGCATATTGAAAAGTTGCTAATTGCTATAGAATATATATTAGTAGATAGTAAAATTAAATTAAATAAATATTTTTTTTATAAAGTACTTTACTGAAAGCAGCCATTTTTATTATCAGTTTTTACATATTCGAGGTAACTTATATATCAATATTCATGTAAACAAGATTGTTGTCTTGTCATGGGCACTTAGGTCAATTATGGACCGTGATATGGATCTACTATACGATACCAGTTCTTATAAGTGAATTATTTACTTTCAACTTCCTTTCTGCAGGTTCAAATGAGGCCCGATAATTACGAAAATCGGTAGTAACTTATTTAGACTTATAATAAATTAAGTTTTGCCGATTTTTTTAAACTTAAACATATAACATAATTATGCGCTCAAAAGTCATTGAGCTTTCTGCAAAAGAACGGCAGACAGATAGACATATAGAGAGACAGAGAGACAGGCGACAGACAGACAGACTGACGAAAAGACAGAAAGACAGACGGACAGACAGACAGACAGAATGTCCGTCTTTAATCTACTCAGAAAGTGGCAAACTAATAATACCATCCCACTATAGTTGTGTAGGGTATAAAAACGGTTATGAAATTCATAGGAACATAGGAAAAATCTTCTTGTAAACTTCTACGATTACCGGTTCATAATTGATCCTAATCCCCATATAAGGTCCCTTTCAGAAAAAGACTTAAAGAAATTAAAACAAACATCAAAATGATTCGTTATTATAAATATATAACTTATTCGAAAACTAAAGAGTTCAATTGATAAGTGAGCCAAGTCCCTATAAAAGATTCTGTTCCGAAAAACACCCTGCTCATATTTATAACGATATATGATAAGGTTTTGACAGTGGTATAGTCTAATGTACAGCATAACTATTTGAATAGGTAACTAGGCTAGTCTATTGATTAGTGCGTAGACTTGTCCATAGCATAGCTATTTGACTTTTTAAGCGACTAGTCCCTAGTGTATATTCTCCATACCAGATTAAATTTATATTACTTATTTCTCATTTTCTAAGAGAATGTTCTAACAATTTAAATCAGCGATCGGTAGATAGTACTTAATAAGCTCTCTGATTGTTTTCTATATTTTTATACCCTCCGCCACCATCAGTCGTGATAGGGGGTATATATAACTTTGTCATTCCGTCTGTAACACCAAGAAATATTCATCTGAGATCCAACAAAGTATATACATATTTTCTGGGTCCTTATCAAATTCTGAGTCGATTTAGCAATGTCCGTCTGTCTGTCTGTGTAAAACACGCTCACGATAAAACGAAGCAGTAGAATTTAACAAAATTCACCCAAAATGTTCTCCATTTTACTAAATTACTTGGTATTGAAAATGAGCAAAATCGGTTCACATCGAGAAAAGTTATGAATCAAAGTTTTAAACAACTCCGAAAAAATAAGCAATTTTACACATTCTGATGTAATTTTCACGAAAAAAATGCGATATAGTTTTATGAAAATCATTATACATCCATTTCTACACGAGAGCTTGATTCCTGTTGAAAATTGGCATCTGTGTACAATTTCATATACCTCCCATACAAAAGTACATATTTCCGGAAAATTAGTTTATTGTTAATAACTTCCGTCAGAATATTGATATCTTCACAAAATTTTACAAATTAAAATCTTATGTCAATAGAATTCATTCAGAGAAAAAATTTTCTGGATCGGTCGATAATTGGACATAGCTCCCATACAAGGTCCCCTTCCGAAAATCACTAGTTGCATTATCAATGAGACTCTATATATATTTTGTATTTCCTTAAATCTTTCACACACATACATACATTTAAATTATTAACAAGTAAGAAAGTATAGTCGGGCGTGGCCGACCATATGATACCCTACACCAGTTATGAATATTAAATGTGATTTATTTTTCATAATAAAGCATTTATCTTCAATATTCCCTTGTTCCCATACATTTAAGCAATTTATGGATGAAAAACTAATTTTCTGAAAGAGGCTTTATATGGTGCTAGGGGCAAATATGGACCAATCCCGATAAAATTTTGTGAATATATTTATATTTACATAATATTTTATTGTGCTGAATTTCATCGCGATATTTGTGTTTATAAGATAATTTGGGACATTTAAGTAATTTTCTGAAGGGGACTTTGTATGGGAGCAAATGTGGCCCGATCTTTATGAAATTTGGTAGGGTCATCAAGACTTCTATAAAACTTAGCTGTGCCGTATTTTATCGATATATCTGTATATTTAACATAATTATGAGCTCAGAAGCGCTTTTCGGGGGGTTCTGTTCTATGGGGGCTAGGTGAAATAATGGACGGATTTTAACCATTTTCAATAAGCTTCGTCCTTGGGTCAAATAAAACGTGCGTGCCAAATTTCATCCAATTATTTTGAAAATTGCGACCTGTACCTTGCGCACAAGGTTTACATGGACAGCCAGCCAGCCAGCCAGCCAGCCAGCCAGCCAGACGGACGGACGGACATAGCTTAATCGACTCAGAAAACGATTCTAAGCCGTATACTTTAAGGTGGGCCTAGGACGAATATTTTTGTATGTTACAAACATCACAAATCCAATATACCCTCCCCACTAAAGTGGTGTAGGGTATAAATATCGCTAATGGCTAAATGGCGCTATAAAAATACAAAAGAAAATGATGTTTGTAATGTTCAATGAATCTTGTAATAGATTTAAGCTGTTTAAATCTTGGGGTTTTCCTATTTAAGACATGAGAAAACTTATTTCTACAAATATTTGATCAATTAAAAAAATATTAATATTAAAGTAGCTGGTGGAGGGTATTTAAGACACGGCTCAGCCGAATATAGCATTCTAACTTGTTTTTGTTTCAAATGTATGAGCTTACTTACCTACATACATTGCGAAAGCGAAAGCACAAGAAAGCTTATAAGATTTCTCTTAGTGTATCTCTCTAATTTACATTTGTCAGTTCTCTTTATAAAACAAATCCCTTTATTAAGAGTAATTTCTTATCGTAATGCATTTCATTGATAATATGTTGGCATTATCAGATATTGTAGTTACTCTTAACGTTAATAGAGGCAAATAAACAAAATCACTATAGAAAACTTTCATTAGCGCTTCAGCGATTAAAGGCCATAGAATGTTTAAATTGAATTCAATTATAAATTTATTAATTGTATTATATCTATGGCAAACACCTAAACAACTGGAAGCAGGAAGAATTCTGGGCATTTTTGCTCTACCACAACCGGCCAAATATACAGTGACAACATCTTTGGTAAATGCCCTACATGACAGAGGTCATGAAATAACGTTAATTATAAGAAGTACCAATCAGCTGCATGTTTATGCTAATATACGAAAAATAGTTATAGAAGATCAGGAGCAAATTGCAAAAGGTTAGTTGCTTGAGTTTTGAAGTGAAAGATTTTTTTTAACGAATTTTTGTTTTGTAGAGTTTTCTACATTTTCTAGTGAAAATGTAGATCAAAATCTTTTCACCAAAATGCAGACTATTTTTGGTAAAGGAGCGCGAATAAACTCAAATATTTTCAATAATCCTGAAGTTCGAGAGATAATGAAAAACGAAAAATTTGATATGATAATGCTGGATACGTTTATGACTGAGGCTTTATATGGTTTGGGAGAATATTTTAATGCCTCAATGGTGGGTATTTCCAATTTTGGATCTCTAACCTCGTTGGATACAATGGTGGGCAATGTCTCACCTCTATCGTTTATACCTTCAATATTTATACAACATACATTCGAGGTGACATTTTGGCAGCGTTGCTTAAATGTTGCCTTATATGTGGTTGATATAATGACATATGAATTTATACATATGCCGCTGCAGCGTACAATTTATGAAGATATATTTCCTAATGCTACTCTCACATTTGATCAGGCTTGTCGTAACTTTGCTTTAGTTTTACTGAATCAACATTTTTCTTTAAGTTTTCCTCGTCCCTATGTACCCAATATGATCGAGGTGGCAGGTTTGCATATTAAGGAAGAATTGGATCGACTGCCCACAAGTGTTCAACAATTTTTAGACAATTCTCCTCAAGGTGTTATCTATTTTTATTTGGGTGTTAGTGAGGAAGCATTTAACTTAAATCCCAATAACTCTTTAATGGTTTTACAAACGTTAAAGGATTTAAATTATAATATTATTTGGAACATGGACTATATGCCCGTGAAAGCCCGGAAATTTAGCAATATTTTACAAGTCCATAATGTTTCGCATTACTCAATATTGGCTCACGCTCATGTTAAACTATTTATAACCAATGGTGAGTTGCTCAGCGTTATAGATGCCGTTTATTATGCCAAACCTATTTTAGGTCTACCCATGTTTTCCGATCAACATATAAATATTTATATGGCCATTAAAAACGGCTATGGTCTCGGTTTAAACCTAAAGCAACTCCATGAATCTAAATTGAAACAAACTATTTTAGAACTTCTAAATAATTCACGTTATACCAAGAATATCAAAGAATTATCCGATGTTTTCCATGATCAACCTATGAAACCTTTAGACAAATCTATTTATTGGTTAGAATATGTCTTAAGACGCAAAGGTGCTAAACACTTGCGTGTCAAAGGTCGTTTTTTGAATTTTTGGCAATTTTATAATATTGATGTTTTCTTAGCATTCTTATTCGTATTCGCTTTAATTGTATTTATGATTTGGTTTATAATGAAATATATACATTTGTTGTTACATAGAAGTAAACAGAATTTACAGACAAAATTTAAAAGAAATTGAATATAAAAATTGTTACATATTATATTTACATACCTATGATGATTTTTGTATATTTGGTTTTTGAATAAACTAAATTTCCCAGAATCTAAAATAATAAAACTAAAATAACTTTGCTGTTATTCTTAATTAAATATGTATCTTAGGGTGTCCCGTGGATCATTTTTATACTCACCATCAAAAAAGATGGGAAGGTATATTGATTTTGTCATTACGTTTGTAACACATCAAAATATTGGTCATAGACCTACAAAAATATATATTTTGGGTCCTAATTAAATTCTAAGACGATCTGTCCGTCTGTCCTTCTGTTCGTCTGTTAAAAACACGATAGAGTCGGAACGGAATGAGCTAGAGGGTTTAAATTTTCCAAATTATATTCTCTATAGGAAAGGTTTGTTTGGTATTGAAAATGGGCCATATTGGTATGTATATTAGGGAGTCCCGTGGATCATTTTTATACCCACCATTAAGAAAGATGGGAAGGTATATTGATTTTGTCATTCCTTTTATAACACATCGAAATATTGGTCATAGACCCACAAAAGAATATATATATATTATGGGTCTCTATTAAACTCTAAGACGATCTAGTCATGTCCGTCCGTCTGTCCTTCTGTCCTCCCGTCTGTCTGTCTGTTGAAAACACAATAGAATCCGAACGGAATGAGCTGGAGAGTTGAAATTTTCTGTATAGGATAACATTTGTTTGGTATTGAAAATGGGTAATATCGGTCCATGTTTTGGTATAGCCCCCTTACAAGAGGACCCCCAAAAAACAGCCTTAACGGGCATATATGTTTTAAAAGTGTTAGCATAGCGATGAAATTCAACATAAATAAGTTTCATAGGAGCCAAAATCTTAATTGATCCTACCCCCATATAAGGTCCCCTTTAGAAAGTGACTTTAACGCTCATTACTGGATTCAAAATACGAGTATAGCGATGAAAATCGACTGAAGTAAGTTCCTTTCGCGCTAAAATCTCTTAACCAAATTTTATGTGTATCAGTCTAAAATTGATCCTATCCCCCTATAAAGTCCCCTTCAGAAAATTGCTCTAACGCTCATTACTGACATAAAAGTTCGAGCATTGAAATGATATTCGACATAAGTAAGTTTATTATCAACCAAAACCTCTCTACAGACTTTTATGAGAATCGGCATATGATTGACCCTATACTCCATGAAGAATTCAGAAAATTACGAGTATAGTAATGAAAAGTGACCAACTTTAAGAAGCTGGACCCCATTTCACCATACCTTCAACTGTAAATCAATTTGAAAACGAAATTGCAATACGATATCTCCTTAATAGTTCTCGCGATATCGAATAATTTTCATAAAACAGTTTCTGAACTTGCAATTTGTAATTTGTGTCTGTATGAACTTTTCAATAAAGTATTCCTAAAAATCGTCATCACCAAATATATTCCTATAATTTGTTGTATTTTTAATTTTTCTCTCAGTTTTAATTAGTTGGCAGTTTTTGTGATATTTTTTGTCTTTTACAGTTGGTTTCATAAATTTTATTGTTTTTCTCGTTTATTTTTTGCTACATATTTGTGTGTATTACTTCGTAATGGCTTAGGGCCTTTTTATTGTTGTTACTACTATGAATATTGGCTGAAATTTATATACACAAACATGTACAGTGTACATTATACACACACACATACATAAATAACTATGGATATATTTAGCTAAATCAGCAAAATATTCAACAAAATATTTACACAGTCTTTTGAATAATAAAATAAACTATGGTTGTATTTAGTTTACATGTAACATTAATGTACATACGTATGTATGTATGTATATATGGTCAATATATGTATGTACATATGTATAAATTATATAAAACATACGATATCACAACCATTGGCTATTTACCATATGGTCCATATACAAACATTCAATGATGTTTATGATGATGACAACAACGATGATGTTAGATAGTTTTAGCTTCAATATTATTGAAGTAATAGTGATGTATTTGTTTAGACAGTATTGCCATTTTATGAAAAACAAAAGAAAAAAACCTTTGATTACAATTTGGGAAAAGTTAATTAAAATACTAAAATATGGAGGAGAAAAATTGTTAACAGAAATATCATGTAATAGATACGACTTAATTTTCGTAATTTGATTTTTTTTGATATCAAAAACAATTGTTCGAAAATATCAATAATGCAAAGCTTATTACTTCCTACTATCCTACTTTAGCACTTACAGCATTGGAGTCCACTACTCGAGCCAGAAAAAGTAGAACTGAACTAGAACTGAACTAGAACAGAACTAGAACTGAACTAGAACTGAACTAGAACTGAACTAGAACTGAACTAGAACTGACCTAGAACTGAACTAGAACTGAACTAGAACTGAACTAGAACTGAACTAGAACTGACTAGAACTGAACTAGACTGAACTAGAACTGAACTAGAACTTGAACTAGCCTAAAAATAGAACTGAACTAGACTGAACTAGAATCTGAACTAGAACTGATACTAGAACCTGAACTATGAACTGAACTAGAACTGAACTAGAACTGAAACTAGAACTGAACTAGATGAACTAGAACTGACCTAGGAACTGACTATAACTTGAACTAGAACTGGACTAGAACTGAACTAGAACTGAACTAGAAACTGAACTAGAACTGAACTAGAACTGAAACTTAAACTGACTAGAACTGAAATAGAACATGAACTAGACTGAACAGAGAAACTGAAACTAGAACTGAACTAGAACTGAACTAGCACTGAAACTAGAAACTGAACTAGGAACTGAACTAGAACTTGAACTAGAACCTGAACTAGAACTGAACTAGAACTGAACTAGAACTGAACTAGAACTGAACTAGAACTGAACTAGAACTGAACTAGAACTGAACTAGAACTGAACTAGAACTGAACTAGAACTGAACTAGAACTGAACTAGAACTGAACTAGAACTGAACTAGAATGAACTAGAACTAGAACTGAACTAGAACTGAACTAGAACTGAACTAGAACTAACTGAACTAGAACTGAACTAGAACTGAACTAGAACTGAACTAGAACTGAACTAGAACTGAACTAGAACTGAACTAGAACTGAACTAGAACTGAACTAGAACTGAACTAGAACTGAACTAGAACTGAACTAGAACTGAACTAGAACTGAACTAGAACTGAACTAGAACTGAACTAGAACTGAACTAGAACTGAACTAGAAAACTAGAACTGAACTAGAACTGAACTAGAACTGAACTAGAACTGAACTAGAACTGAACTAGAACTGAACTAGAACTGAACTAGAACTGAACTAGAACTGAACTAGAACTGAACTAGAACTGAACTAGAACTGAACTAGAACTGAACTAGAACTGAACTAGAACTGAACTAGAACTGAACTAGAACTGAACTAGAACTGAACTAGAACTGAACTAGAACTGAACTAGAACTGAACTAAAAAATATTTTTTATTATAAATTGTCATTCGTTTTAAAAGATACCTATAAAAATAATCCAGGTATCCCCTAATATTGTTAAGTTCAATATTACTTACATGTTTAAAAACTTCAACGCTTCAAATGTCACATTTACTTTATAAAATTAATTTTCCCCAAAACTCCCATCACTGAATATTAATTTCCCAGTAAGTTTAACCAAAATCAAAACCTGTTGATAAGAAAAGAACCACAAACATTTACTTAATTAAAAAAATCTATAAAATTTGATTTGCACAAATGTATTGTATGCCTAAGAAAATAATTAGAGATTTTATATGAAATGCCATAAAAATCAAATAAAATAATTTTAACAATTTTACTGCCTTTATAGCTTTTCCCCATAAACTATTTATTAATGCAAAGCAACATACTTATGTAACAAATTGAGTAGATAAAATTTACTAATGCCAGCATTAAATATCTAGAAACTCTTAAAAAACTATCTAACCTTTTAATCATATTAGAAATTTTTGGAAACTAAAAACCCTCAATAAATGTAGTCAATTTGTATTATACCCAGGCTTTTATTGTTTAAGTTTTTTTCTCCCCCTCATTGCTGCTGTGTCTGCTTTTGTCTATTGTTTGTTAAATTAGGGAAATCTAATGAGTCAACATGGGCAATAGGAAAACCTCAAACTATTTGGCCACACTCTATGTTGTTTTTGATAGTAAAATGCCAACCGAAAAATGATTTTAATTAATTAGGCTTTTATGAGGCATGCAACCCAGATACGAACACACACTCATACTTGCGTATGTATACATAAAACATAGTTTTACAGACACACATACAGATATATATTTCTATACAAATAAATATAAAACTAAAATAATACATACATGCTAATAAAATGTACCAAATAGTTAGCAGCAAAAAATAAAATCACACACATAAATTTATTTCTCGCCATGTTTGTTAATACTCGTGTTGGGAAGTTAAATTTTAATATCAAAACATGAATGTAAGAGCAGTCGCACAAGTCCCATCATTTTATATCGTACGAGATAATTCGACATTTTCAGTTCTAGTTCTCGTTCTATTTCAGTTCTAGTTCAGTTCTAGTTCAGTTCTAGTTCAGTTCTAGTTCAGTTCTAGTTCAGTTCTAGTTCAGTTCTAGTTCAGTTCTAGTTCAGTTCTAGTTCAGTTCTAGTTCAGTTCTAGTTCAGTTCTAGTTCAGTTCTAGTTCAGTTCTAGTTCAGTTCTAGTTCAGTTCTAGTTCAGTTCTAGTTCAGTTCTAGTTCAGTTCTAGTTCAGTTCTAGTTCAGTTCTAGTTCAGTTCTAGTTCAGTTCTAGTTCAGTTCTAGTTCAGTTCTAGTTCAGTTCTAGTTCAGTTCTAGTTCAGTTCTAGTTCAGTTCTAGTTCAGTTCTAGTTCAGTTCTAGTTCAGTTCTAGTTCAGTTCTAGTTCAGTTCTAGTTCAGTTCTAGTTCAGTTCTAGTTCAGTTCTAGTTCAGTTCTAGTTCAGTTCTAGTTCAGTTCTAGTTCAGTTCTAGTTCAGTTCTAGTTCAGTTCT